GACAAGTTCTCAAACCTTATTGTCTTGCATGGACTTATACTCCTCCTTCATTGCTTCAATCCATTTTTGAGAGTTAGAACCTTGCACAACTTGACGGAAGTTAACTGAGTCATCTTCCATTATATCATTGTTTTCCTCATGTTCCTGAAGAAATACCATGTGATCATCCGAAATAGCACTTCTTCTTTCTCTAGTGGATCTCCGCAAAGTTATTGGCTCATGATGCACAGGTTCTTGAGGATCTTGAGTTTGTTCTTCATGAACAACCAAATCATCTTGAGTAAGGGGTTCATCATAAATGTCTTGTGGAGGTTCCGAACTTACTTTATCAAAAGTAACTATTTGAATCGGTTCTGAAATTGTTATTGATTCTTCCTTTAAGATAAAGTTCTTAATCTTATTCTTCCCCCCAAACTTAATATCCTCAAAGAACATAGCAGTTCCCGTCTCAAAAATTGTCTTTAATGTGGGATCATAAAATTTATATCCCCTGGATCTTTCAGCATAACCAATAAAATAACTACTTACTGTTCAGGAGTCCAATTTCTTTTCATTTGGCTTATATGACCTTGCCTCAGCTGGACATCCCCACACATGGAAATGCTTCAGATTAGGTTGTCGCCCAGTCCAAAGCTCATAAGGAGTTTTGGTAGCTGCTTTTGTTGGTACTTTGTTTAGAATATAAGTTGTCGTCTTTAGTGCCTCTCCCCAGAGTGATTCCGGTAAGGTAGAATGACAAATCATACTCCTTATCATATCTTTAAGAGTGTAACACAAGCTCAAGCGCCACGATTCGATTGTGACTTGAGCACTTGTGCCATAATGCACCTGAGTAAGTATTTTCAATTTTACGTTTAGTACCACGTGATTCTGTATTAAGGGTTTCATTATAGGTAGCTACAATATCAAGTAAATATTGATTATCATAAGTCAAAAGTGAACTAGTTCCAACAATATCTGAATTAAAAGACAAACTGAACTCATTGTTTCCAAATGAACACAAATAACCTAATTTGTCCAAATAAGAAACTAAAACCAAATTCGGTCTAAATGACGGCACAACAAAAGTGTCTTTCAAATCCAAATAAAAACCAGTACTCTAACAATTTAAAATTCCCTATAGCTTCCACCTCTACTGATTTGCCATCTCCAACATATATACATCTTTCAGAATCAATTGGCTTTCTGTAGCTTATGCAACCTTTCATAGAAACACTGATGTTAGTAGTTGCACCTGAGTCTAACCACCAAGTGTTACTATGTACTCGACGCTAAATTGACTTCGAACGGACCAAAGTAGGAAACATACTTTTGAGGATCGTAACGAAATTTAAATTGGCAGATACATAAGCAATTGTAGTTGAATTTAGAACACGAGAAATAAACTAATTATGCTCACATTATATAAAAAATAAATAATTATAAATATATATTCAAATAATGATTTAACACATCTCAAGACACCCAATGCACCATCAATATCAAGTCTTTGGACAGTAATATTAACTGTTAGAGGTGTCTTGTTGTAATAATCAAACATTGATAATAAAGCACGTCCAACAACAAACCAGTCTTTGGATTGATTTATCATCGACAAAGCAAATCCTTATAATTATCACATGTTTATCATTACAAGTGTATATACAATTCGGCCAAATATTAATCTTCCTTTGGGCTGATTAATACTCGCATGAATATACACAAACACTAACATTCAATATTTTTCATGAACTGTCCAATTCAAGAGAGGTTACTTTGGTGACTTCTTGACTCAATTTGCTCACAAAAAATATTAAACTACCAAAATTGAATATTTTATTTATATAACAAAACTAAATATTTAATATTTGCAAACTAATTCAAAAGATAATCACTTCATTAGAATTCCACTAAGGATGAACATCTTCCTAGAATCCCATTAGGGATGAACACCTCCCTTGAACAAATCAAAGGATGAAAACACCTCTTTTTTCACCAATACATAAAGGATGAACATCTCCCTAAAATCACACTAGGGATGAAACAAAGATAGTTATGAGTCTCTTTAACACATTACTCTAAACCCTAAAAGGGAATTTAACATCAAATTTTCCTTAAATCCCTAGGGGATAAAGGCAATAAAATAATAACAGCCACACATGTGGAAACATTCACCAGTTGCCTAAGATCCTCTATGTTGGGAATTCCCCAAACACCACCCCCAATTCCAAACTCATCCATATCCACCATGAAAAGAAAATGAAAACAAAACCCATAAAATTAAATAAAAACAAAAAATAAAAGATTCAAAGAGAACAGAGAACCCAATACAAGAAAGATTGAAATTTGAAACACTATTTCTTTCTCAGTAAAACTTGAAACTTAAACTGAAACAAAAGGGAAAAACGAAGAAGAAGGAGAATCCATAACTTCCTCCACGGTTCCATCAGCAAGCAGAATCAGATTGGGGATGTTACCCCCAAATTTAAATTTTAGGGTTCACAAAAATTGAAGATTATTCTTCACTTAGGGTTCATAAAATTGGGTAATTTGAATTGTTTAAAATAAAATTAACCCTAATTTTCATAATTAGGGTTCTATAAATTAAACAGACGTGAATCAAGTATAGGTGGCTCTGATACCAATTGTTGGAAAATTAATAATAATAATAATAATAATCCTGATTTTGATTCTAACGATGAAACATAAACGTAATCCTATACTTGATAAACATGTCATGAACCGAATGTGAAAGCGTACTCGAATTAGTCATAATGATGATGTATTTGTAGAGCGTTATATTGATCTTATGGTCTTTCACCTGAAGAACACCTGTATTTCCCTCTTGATTTTCTCTCTTGATGGGGATAGAAAGAAAGGAACAGGAATGAAACTTACATTCTGTCTACGTGCTCCCAGAAAGGGACCATGACCCCTTAAAATAACCAGAATTAGGTTAATTACTTAAGTTTTAGTATTTCTAATTTGGCCCATCATCAAATTAGAAATTGCTCTATGATCTCTACACAATTTTATTTTCATGACATATGCCTTTAGCCAAACTTTTTAATTTAGTCAGATCACTTTATTATTTGGCTTAATAAATAATGACACTAACACATTTAAATTATGTATCATATATATATATATATATATATATATATATATATATATATATATATATATATATATATATATGACCCAAAATTTGCCAACAAATAAGAGTAATGTTATTAACATAGAGTAAAATGTAAGTCATGTGCAAACGTTTTCAATAAATAAATAATGAGTGGTCACATTTGTTATTTGAAAAACTAAAAGACACAACATAACCAACAACCTGTTTATACCAAACACGGGATACTTGTTTAAGTCCATATAATGACTTACGCATATGACACACATAATTGGAATGAGTACGGTTACAATACCCTAATGATTTATGCAAATAAACTATTTCTTGTAAATCACCATGAAAAAAAGCATTTTTGACATTCAACTTATATATGGGTCATCGTGATACATTGACACCAGAATTACCTCTTACATGACATTTTACAATATTAATTTCTCATCTTATTTTAATTTGAGCAATTATTTGGCATTATTACTATGGTCATAGTATCCCGATTCATAATTATGAGAATACTTATTGTTTTTTCTTAATTTTTCTTTATCTCTTACAAATATTTTACATACTTTGATAACATAAAAAAATATTTTCTTTAATTTTCTTTAATTGATCTCATTCATTCACTTAAAATAAATACAATATATAAGTCATAATCTTAAAAAATTAATTAGATAACTAATAATATCATATATTTAAAAAATTAATTATAAACTAAATATATACTTACTTAAAATATAATAACAAAATATATTTAGATACGTGTTAAACGGTCAAATCTGTTGTTAAATCTGCTGTTGCCAAAGAACCTCGCATTTTCGTCTCTTCTTTCATGACTTGTTCATGTAATATTCTCCTAACCTATACCTATATATTATATCCTATAGTTTTTTCATTGTTTTTCAGCTACATTTTGCAGGTGTGTTTGTTCATCATTTTTATCTGTTAGTGGCTAAAAAGCTCGTGATTTTTTAGCTACATATAACTCATGCATCTTAATCGTGTTTCTTCTCTTAATTAACACTGCAAATATATTCTAAATGAATAACTAAACTTATCGAGGAATGATGTGCTGTATAACATTTTGTGTGATGTTATGCTTTTCTGTCTTAACGGGACCACCTTTTCGAATTGTTCATTTCAAATAAATATAATAACGTGACAGGTCCTAAACCTTCGTTTTAGATTTAAATAATTAAAATATTGTTTATATTAGACAATAGTTGAGTATGTGTCCCATTTCTTTCATATAACAATGGTTTTCTAACAAAGTTCATACCAGAATGTGACATTTAAACCACCGCGTGCGTTGGATCAAGTCATTTTTCTAAGCTTAAAGTCGTCCATTCAATAGAAACACATTTGAGAAACATGAAAGGCAAATTTAACCAACTGAAAATAACCCATTTATGATCTTTCAGTGTTCAGGGAAATAAGTGAATCTATGAACTCGCAATCATTAATATTTCATATATAACTAGAAAAATATTTTAACAAACAATCTCATGTCCCAACTAAAATTGCAGATGACATATTATAATTTAGGATTTAAATTCTTGAAAAAGGGAAATTAAATTAAAATTCGTAAAAAAGAGAAAGAAACATTCACTTGAGAGAGTCCTATGTATATTATATATACATCATAAAAGTGAGTAAATACTATGAATTATTAGGATGTGCTTATATAGAAAACTGTCACGCATAATAAAATTAAAATTTGAATTGAAGATAATTTTAGTTAATTGACTTTATATAAATCTTTGCATTGACACATGAAAATTAAGAAAAAATAATAATGATTTTTTAAAGGATTGATCTTTCTTAACAAATATTTTTCATACACAAATCCCACATGACAGAATTATTTGTTGTGGTAAAACTTGAGCAGAAAATGTTGGTTGTAAGATACAATCCTAATTAACATTAACAAATCAGTTATTAAAATTATGTATGAATATTGAACAATTATTATTTTGTGTGGAGCTGACACAATTGGGAAAGCAAGGTGTGGTGCTTTCAGAGATCACATACACAGTGGAAGCAACATTGACAGGACATTTGCATTGGGCAGGCAGAGAAAGTGTCCAAGGACTAATGGCATTGGAGACAACAATGTAGCAGTTCTAGACTTCACAACTCCGAATCATTTTGACAACAACTACTTCAAGAACCTCCTCAACAAAAAGGGACTCCTCAGTTCTGATCTCGTGCTTTTTAATGGTGGATCTACTGATTCACAGGTTAGAACTTACAGCAAGAATAACAAGGCCTTCGATTCTGACTTGAGTTGAGTGGGAAATAACAAACCCTTGAGATCATATGTAGGATTTGTGACCCAATCACTAACTATCCCACGCAATCACGCATGTACAATCTTCATTTGCCTCATGATATCTAGAGAGTCGTTTGTGTTTATTATCACTGCTTATTTTACAAGCTCGTCGATTTTTCTAGACTAAATTCCGTAATTTGCTGATGTCTACCTCATTTTAGAGGATTTTCTACGTTAAAAATTTAATGCCTTCTTATCATTATTTTGTCATTACTATTTATGAATTAGAGCCGGTTGAATATATTTCTGTGACTGTTACGCTCGTCACAGTTTCTCTCAAGCAAATTAGATTAATTTGCCCATTAATTTTCGTTGTTTCTACTGTGTGCTTTCACCTTCATTGGTCGTTTTAATGGTGCTTTTAACACAAATAAAGATGCACACCAGAATTTGATAAAACTGAAACAAAAAATACACACAGATGATATGGAAAAGGGAAGTCGTGTCTTACAAAAAGGGTGATACGAGAAATTCTCGGATAAACTCTTTATTTATAGTGTAACATGAGCAGACACACTACAAAATCATCATAGGAAGCAAGAAAAAGAGTCATAGCAGAGGTCACGAATCAAATGGAGACATTAATCATGCTTTCTTCAAGATGCCTGCCTTGCCTGTTTTAAAATCATCCACGCATGAACACACCAGTTTACACCTATCTCAATGAAAGGGACAGTTAAAGCGTCACTAAATAAACCAAATGTTTTATTTGTCCACAACCATCATGCCCTACCATAACAACAAAAACCAGACCTTTTTTGTTATACAAAAGTTAGACTTACATGTAAAAAAGTTTACATCACAGAAAGGGTTTTCACAAGGAGGACACAATCAATCCTCCATGATTTTTTTTTTTTCCCTTTCCAGGCCAGTGAAAACAATACAAAAACACCTTTACACACATTATTTGCACCATGTAATGTATAAATTGGAGACATTCTATAGGAGTTAATTCAAAACCTTTGGATCAGCCCCTCCCAGAATTCCCATGTCTTTGACTTCTAAATTGATTGAGGAGAGCCTGGGCCTAAATATAGAAGAAAATTTATCACTTTTTTGAAAGAATAGAAAGAATAAAAGACAACTAAAATATGAAACTACAAAGGCAGAAGCACACCTTTTCTTTGCCCCTAGGGGTGCCTGACTGTGATAAAGCTACTAATGGAGGGACAGCTCCTTGTTGAAGCACCTTGCCTAAAAATTTGGTACTATGTGAACAAAGATGTAGAAGAGCTGCGGCAGCATTCTCCTTTCCTCTCGCAGAACCCAACTCAACAACCTCAACCAGAACAGGAATCCCACCTTCTTCACCAATTGCATTTCTTCCTTCTGGAATTGTGGCAAGATTTGCTAAGACAGCCACTGCCTTGTCAACCATTCCAGCTGCTGGATCCATTAACTCCACAAGGTGCCTCACAGCACCAGCTTGCACAATCCTATTCTTGTTTTCATGATATATTGACAAGTTAAACAAAGCAGTGGCAGCATCTTTCTTTCCCCTTGGGGTTCCATTCCCCAGTAAATCTACCAATGGTCTAATTGCCCCTGACCTCCCTATGAAAATCTTGTTTTCCTCAATCACTGATAAGCTGAAAAGAGTGGCAGCAGAATTCTCCTTCGCTTCTGGGCTCCCAGTCTCAAGCACATGAATTAGAGGTTCAATTGCACCAGCATTCGCAATTGCAGTTTTGTTGTTATCGTTGATTGATAAGTTTAGAAGTGCAGTAACAGCATTTTCTTGGATAGTTGTATCAGCTGATTTAAGTAAATCAACTAATAAGTTAATGGCTCCACAGTTTGCAATCGCAATTCGATTATCCATGTTGTGCTTAGCAAGAAGGCGGAGTTCTGCTGTTGCCTCTTTCTGAGTATCAAGATCAGAGCTCCTCAAGCCCTCAACCAAATTCCGGACCTGGGCTTCAATACCAGAAAGATCAGCTCTTGTTTCAATAGCAGGAGATGTTATCCTAGGAACGAGCCTATCTGATGATCGCCTCCATATGGCTTGACTCCGAGGCCTTGTCTCCAACAATCGGGGTGGGAACTCAGCTTCTCTATGTGTTGATGGCGTGGTAGTAGTACCAGCAGTTTCTGGCCCTGGATTTAATTCACCAGAGGCATCTCTACTGTGGCCTGGACTCGTTGACAGCTGAGCATTGTTGTCATCATCTTGGGTTTCTTGAGGAAAATTTGCATTAGAAAGTGCACTGGAATCAGAAACAGCTCTAATATGGGCTTGAGATTGTTCAGAGCTAAAGGCACTGGAAGAGTCCCTTCTAGTTGGTGACATTGATGGTTGGCTAGCTGAATCCATGGTGCTTTCATCTGAGCTAGAAGATCTGTCATCCAAACCGGCAAGAGATATTCTACCAAGATCTATACATTGTCCATTACCCATACCACTTAAGGAGCCTTCTGAAATTGAACGGGGATGCAAGGGTGATGATGATGTTTCCTCTAGCTGAATGCCACCAGAAGTTGTGTTATTACCTGGTGAACTAAAAGAACGAGAACGCGCTGACTCAGGTGAGGATGACTGGTTGTTCCTGGGGTGAGCAAAAACAGGCGATTCCCTGGTTGTACCAGATTCCATATACCCATGAAGGCTGGATGGTTGATTTAAATTTGTGGATTTTGAGGGATCAACTAGTTGAACATTGTTGGACTCGCACCAATTGGCAATTAGTGCTTTTACAGTATAATTAGGTATAAGGTTGGTATGAGCCAGAGTTTGACGTGTCTTTGGACAAACAGTAAGCCCAAGATCAATCCAGTTTTTGATGAAAGCTCGCTCATATGTTTGCCCTGATGCCACAATCACAGGATCAGTCATCAACTCCAAAGAAAGAGGACAACAAAAATCAGCAGGTATTGAAACTGGGCTGCTACTCTGGGCTTGCTTAAGCATAACAAGACGCTCATACATTCGTGTTACAACAGCAATCATTTGATCAATGTATTCAGCCTCTGCAGTCTTTTCAGTTTGTTCAGCATTTTCCTTCAACCTTTCGAGGGCCACAGCTTCAATAAGAACCTCCTGATTAGACAGTAGGCCCAGGCTATCAGCAATTTTTGTCAGAACCTCTGGACTGGGCCCTACATATTCCAGTAACTCTGTAATAGCTTCCTTAATAACTGATGAGGTTTCTTCATGTCCCAAAAGCTTAAGTTTTTGTGAACAGTGCTGCAATTTTTACATTAATTATAATCCAATTTTTTTTTTCATATAAACATAAATTCAACTGAATGGGGATCTTAAATTAACCACTTCATTCAGCAGAATATTTACCTGTAAATCTTCAGAACTTAATTCATCAGGGAGACAATGCTGAGAAGCCTTCAGCTGCTGGAAAATATTGAGCCCTGAATTGCAAATTCTTGAAATCAGAGGTTCAACTTGCATAACCTAGCCAACAAGGAAGATGAAATAGTGAGAAATTGACATGAAATCAACATGAAATATTCAAAACCATGAATGTTCATGAGAAGCAGGCACAAAAAAAAAAGAGTTACTATACATTCTAATTCTAGAACCGGTGGCAAGTGACCACCCAACTCATTTGAACATGCTTCTCAATTCTAACTTAATGACATTTCACTAAGGTAGAGAGAAAAAGAAACAGCAAACTTTTCAGAAGGACTGATGTCTGGTTATGCTTCCTTGAAAAAGGTAATGTGGATAAGAACTGAGTTCCAAGTGGGTTAGGAAAGGCACTATAAATGGATGGATTGGAGGTAGTTAATTGTTAGGAGTATATGTGATAAAAAATAACTTATCTTGTATTAGCAGCTCTATATTAGAAAGCAGTTCTGCATTAGAAACTGCTAGAAAATGCATAATGAAAGTTATTCATAGAAAATAACAAGTGGCACTGAAGTAGGTTGTGTTATTAGGCAAATGTTTAGTTATTTACAGTTTTGTGGATAGAGAAATTTTGGCTGAGACGGTACTGCTTTGCTATATAAATTCAGTGCTCTATATTATATTTTATTAGTTAATCAATTGATATTCTATCATTTTGGTCCAACAAGCAGGATTATTAGAAAGGGAGATCTGTTAGGCCAGTGAGTTGATCAGTAGACAATAGCTGTAGATTTATTGGAGCAGGGAGAAAATAGCATCAATTCTGCTTCAGTAATTTCAACTTTTTCAAAAAATATAGGCCTCACTTTTTTTGTGTCAACATGGAGGACAGATGAGAGGGTGATAGAATCACTAGGTAATTGGAAAAAATTTTAGGGATTTCAAACAAAATGAAAGAATACAAATTTCATTATAGGATTCGTTCTCCAGATCAGTATGATCCAAGAGAAAATTATGTATATAACTCAGACCAATTCGAGTGCCCAGAAATCTCCGAGTAAACACTACTACAACAATAACCTTCCCTCTATAGCCAACCTCCTATATTCCACTAGTTACAGAGCAGTTAGTTATAACTACTCTTAGTTAACTGTCCATCCTAGTTAGTTATAACTACTCTAATAGTTACTAACAACTGTATTTGTATTGCAATACCCATTCCTATTCTTCTGCCTTCGCATGTACACTTTCCTAATGAGGTGTCTTGTACCAGAGGATGAAAGGAGTTCTGTGAAAAAAAAAAAAGCGGCTTCTACATCTAACTTATCAGGAACTTATGGAGATAAATATAAAAGGTTTGAATTTTTAATTTGAAGAGAAATCCCATTCTTTGCACCAATGAAACGAAAAACAAAGGGTGGTGATTTGGTGAGATGAAGCCCAAAACGGTTGAGAGGTAATTGTTACTGAAGTAGATGACAAGAAGAAGGAAGAATTTTTTTCCCACAAGGCTGATTTTTTAGCAGGTTGTGATGATGGGAACTGAAATCCAGGTTAGTAGAAAAGGGTCTTTTAAGGATTGGAGGTAGTTAATCATTAGGAGTATATGTGATAGATGACAAGGAATTGATAGAACTAAAATTGAATCTGCATAAAAGAAATGACAGAACAACTAACCCATAATGGAAGCCTTGTTCACTTTACTTTAAGGTAACAGCTAAGACAAATATGACCTTTGTATCTAGAAACTAAGAGTTAAGATATTATGAAACTTACAAAGTATAATTTGCTAGACAATAGGTGCCAGTTCTCAACATGCGCCTTTAATTCATTAACAGCAAGACCAATTTCTTCCAACATCTTATTAAGCACTTCATCAGAAGCTAACTCTGAATTAACAATCGCATCAATGATTGGCTTCAACAACTTAAGTATCTCCTCTGCCTTCCGGTAATACTTTGAGACAGGTTCACAGTTCATGTTTCCAGAAAATGATAAATGCAAAAACGAGGATATGCCATTTACTATCATTTTTAAATATGATATCTCCATAACACCTGCATATTATAATGATAATAACAACAAAAATAATGGTGATAATAATAATAATAATAATTGAACATAGATGCACTAGAAAAGGAGGGAAATTGCTCGTCTTTAAATGTTCATTTAATTTCCATATACCAAATTGAGTATAACAGCATCAGCTAGAATATTCTAACTATCACCCATAAAAGAGTGAAGGTATGACCTTCAGGTAAAATACACAACCAAAATATAATAAACATAAGTACGAAGTAAAATTTAACCCTTCTCACACTCTCCACTACATGCAAGTAAAAAGAATATACAAACAAATATAATTTTATAATTAAGCAACTAATAAAGTTCAACAGAGCCAACCATAAATAATGTTGTGTGCTTTTTTTGTGATTTAATTTTATGTGTAGTCAAAAATTTATGTGAGTTATGAGTTGTATAAGATTCTATGAATCTTTAATTTAGGTTCAATGTAACATTTGTTGTTATTTAGAGGTAATTTTTATGACTATCTTACACACAACACATATATAATTCTTGCATTTTAGTTGGAACTTACAAATCATCTTACACTCATACAATCCTACAGCCCCACCCCTCTCCTTCTCCCCTGTTCAAATACTGAAATTTTATTTTGACAATGCTGATCTAATCAACAAAAATGTTTTAAATGACTAAATAGGTGGACAACTTCCCCAATTATAACTGTTTGTGGTGGAGAGTGGGTCAAACAGGGTGCAGGCCTAATACCCTTCTCACCCAAAAGAAAACCTAGCCACTTTCTAGTTTCATCAGCCATCGCTCCTTATCACTAAGAAAAAATAAAAAACTAGCCTCTATTCCCCATCACCAACGATTTTTGTCTTGGCAAAAGTTGCAGAACAAAGGCTATTCAGTGACAGTGCAGGTCGCAGAGACAATCCAGAGACAGTACAAATGAAGGAGGAGGAGTGGTCCTAAAGGCCACAAATTGCAACAATTTTCAGCAATTTTGACCACACTAGTTAGGAGCCCTTTGAGGAGCAGCACAGTGTCACAACACTCGTGTGATAGCTGCATTATTGCATGCAATTTACTACTATATATCATTAACTATTTAGTTATAGGACCGAATCTGATATACTTAGACAACTGCATCAAAATTTAAGACTTTCTATGGTTTAGAAAAGAAATTGTGAGAAAAAGAGCATTGCAGTAAATAGAGAATTGTAAATAAGGCTAATAGTAAGAAATGACAGGCAACTAACAGGCCTAATATGAGAATCATACTATGTCATAAAGAATGGAACATCCACACAAGGTAAACAAGCCATACTGTGGTTCCAAATTTCCAATGGACACAGCAAAATGGCCACTTGTAAATACCAATTTGAGAAGAGTGAAAACCCTCGACTACAAGTAGGGTTTCTGCCTTCATCTCACACCTAACAAAAAGGTCACTTGCGGTCGTGCATAGTGTTTCCTACCTGATCTAGTAACGTAATTGCTCAGAAACTATTGTACTGCGATGCAAATGCACCAAGCATCATTATAACATGACAATTCTATCTCGAAATATCTACTGGAATTCGAAGTAACATCACTCCAACAAGAACTTGAAACACCACCTGAGTCTAGCTAAAGCAATCTATGCTAGTAGGCGTAACACAACATACCCAAAATAATTTAACGAGTGTTTTGGTCACACATCAAGGAAAGATTTCCAAGTGTCCAACCGAAGCAAATATAACTCTCTTAAATCCATTTGACGTGAAAACTATATACACATGTTTAGCTAGAGTGTATCCAGACACACACCAATATAATTAAAATAAGTGTTTTTATTCCCATTTTCCCAGGCACTAACAGTAGAATGAAGTATTTTGTCTCATTGAAATGAAAGTAAGTTTCATTCAACGCAAAATGGTCATCAAATCAAGTTGAGTTTATGAAGTCAAACGCAACTACAGTTAAGTTCGTTCCACATGACTGGCTATCAGTTTTCTCAAAACAACTGAAACTCTTTAATCTAAAAAAAAAAAAGTTGGAGCTGATCCAGCTCAACTAGCTGAACTCAAATCACAGCAAGCTTGTTCCACATGACAAGCAATCGGTTTTCTCAAAATAACCCATGCTCCTTAATCTAAAAAAAAAAAAAAAAACAGTTGGAGCTGATCCAGCTCAACAATCTGGATTCAAATCACAGCAGAAAAAAAAATCACAACTTCTGTTTTCTCTAACGCTTAACCAGCAGCAATTATATTTGCAAACGAGGAACCATAGTTGCAAATGCACACAAGCAAGTTGTCAAGCTTGGTCAAAGCTAAAATTTCGATAAAACATTAATTCAAAGCGTACTTTACCGATGGAGCGAAAGGCGATGCCACTGTTTCCAGAACTACGTTCGATTCGATTCGAGATATTGAAGCTGTGAACAGAAGAAAATGAAACTTAGAGTCTTCGCTTGCTCTCGTTCTTCTTTATTCGACTAGGCTTGCCTCCGGTGAGGGAGAGTGGATGGGACGACCGCTGGCGAGGGAGCGGCGCTGCTGGGTTTATGGCCGGCCACGGTGGTGATCCACCGGAAGATTCGGACACGCAACTAGGGCGAGGTCCTAGAGGAATTGGGAAATTGTGGAGACTGCGTCTTCTTTTCTCGTTTTTTATTTTTTATTTATTTTTCTTTTAAAACCAACTTCTTTTGATGGTGTTTTTTAACTAGGAATGATTGATGAACTTAATCACATGATTAGATTACCAATAAAACAAGCAAAGTACCATTCACATTGGTACTCGTGGAACTAGACTCATACTGTGATTGATGAACTATGGTGTTTAATCCTGATTTTTCACTCATACTTTCTTTGAATCTTACTCTGATTCATGAAGTGGTGTTTTATCATGATTTTTCCTACTATGGCCAAATTAAACTTAACTAAAATAATAATAAATAACTTATAAACTTTATTAAAAAAGATACTTATGTTTCAAACATTTAATTGCTTGTTTCAATTCAGATTTTAACATTTAGTGTACATATAACCACAACCATCCATCATTAATTAATCAATATATAGCATAACTGTTATTTATATAAATATTATATTATGTATTTAAAATGTCTATATGATTTCTTACACAGGTTCACATTTGTTAACCCAAAATACTACTATTTTATTTTTTGGATTTTTTTTATAAAAGTTATAAAATACTATGGTAATTAAAAATACTATTTCAATATATTATATTTTTTAATTTAATATAATCTTTTACTTTTATTGAGTATTGAAAGATAATTTTTTATAATCTGAAATTATATTATTTTTTATTTGAATCCAAAAAAAATTAAAGCATCTTAATTTGGTAAAACTGAAGGTAACTCTGTTTGGAGAGTTTAATATTCATATAGAAATATTAAATTGTATTACTAGATTATATTTTGAAATATATTTATTATTTATAAAATATTATTATCAATATCCATAACGTTTGTAATTATTAAAAGGAATATTTTAAAATTAAAACATTTTAAAATCAGTTATAGAATAAAATGTTACCTAATAGATTAAATGTGTTATTATTTAATGAACTGTTATAATTAATTATAAAATATTAATACATATGAATATAATTAACAAATCAATTTGTTTTTTCACTTTTAGATGTAGTGATTAAATACATTATACATTATAGGAATTATCCTTGTAGTAGGAAAACAGTGACTGATATAACTATGTGAAAAACTCATCACCTTAGATAAAAGTTTATAAATATCATATAAATATATTAGAAAAAAAATATATATATATATATATATATATATATATATATATATATAATCATTTGATGTGATGAATGTTAATTAAATCATGGGTATATTTAGAAAATAACATTTTTCTCTTTTTTTTTTGTGTTTTAAAATTGCTTGTGACTTTAGTGGTCTTTTTACAACCGTAATAAAAATTTGTAAAAAAATATTAAAAAATTTTATAAATTAAAAAATTTGTAACTTGTAAACATTTGTTAAAAATTTTGATCTTTTAAACTTCATGTTATTTTAAAAATTACTACTGTCTTGGTTATAAGAAAAAAATTTGTGATAGAATTATTTTTCATCAATTTATTATTATTAAAATTAAAACCAATTTTAATTATAATAAATGATAGCAATGGTCAGTTATACATATAAACAATTATAATAATCGTTAATTATAATATAATTAATTATTAAAATAACGTTACTTGTTAGAATTTAATTAAAACTAACTAATAGTGTAAGTATTTTTTTTAATCAAATTACAAAATCTCTCTGTATAATAAGTATTTTTATTTATAATATTTAACTATTTGGTCAATTCCTAAGGAAATAATATTTGCAACAATGAATGTAGATTAATTTTTTGCTTCTAGATGGATTGAACTAAACCTTCATTATTATTTTAATCAACAATATATAATTAAGTTTAAATTTTATATGACGTGTAAATATCTCTATGCTAAAATAAAGTCATTTATTGTTCTAAGGCTTACAAGTGAAGCACAAAATTAATATAGTAAATATTAGAAAATACCAATTTACTCTTATTTGTGAAAAAATAAAAATAAAAAACTTATTTAAATGTTTCTAAAAATATTTATTGTAATTCAATCAAAATTATAGTCATTCTCAATAAATCATGACTTTCAGTTGGAGATTTTCCACATTCCCTATTTTGAATCATGATTATTTTTCTTATATCAGATTTGTCATGGAAGTGTTGTTTAATGCATTTATTAATGTGATTTAATAGGATAATTATTTCTTCAGGATTTTGAAATAAAATAAATTTATAATTAATTAGCATACACATGTTACAACATTTTAGCAATGTACCATATTATTATACCAGTAAAATCTGTCAAATATTTAATAAAAATCATATAATATAATATAATCAGTGGAATAGAGTGAATGAGGTAGATAAACAAAACGAAACAAAAACAGTGCACTACCCAACACAGTGCCACAAATACAAGAGGTTACAAATGGTACACGTAAAAACCAAGGTCAACAAAATTGGTGTGTGAGTGAAGTGAGGTGAATTTTCCATTCTGTTATCAACTCGCTCTCATGGCTCATCTTCGACTCACCAACTCGCTAGTTTCTCCCCTTCCCAACAAACTCGTTCCCTTCTCTTCACAATCCATAATTCTCCACCATCCTCTTTTCTTCGCCAAACCTAAACCGCTTATCCGCTTCACCCGCCGAACCGGTTTGCCGCTCGTCCTCGCCGCTGTTGGCCAGGCCGAACCGAACCGGCTCCCTCAAACCCATGTTCCGCAGGTCATCACTGAAGAGGAGGTATTCGATTCCATAATTAATTCAAATTTCGTTTCAGTTTATTAACTTATTGTGTGTGATTACTGTTCATTACCTCAGTTAATTAGGTTAGTAGCGTGGTCAATTTTTAAGTTCTGCTATTGCACAATTTCGTCATCCCTTAAAATATGTTATCCGGGCTCTGAGCGGGTTGGTGGAAACAGAAACGTTTATAATCTTTTTAAATGGTGAAGTTAAGATTTACACGATATATTTTTGTTTTTGTGGAATTTGGTGATGATCTATTAACCGGAGAAGTGAAATAAAATGCCGTGTGCTGCAGTGGTGCAGGGAGGAATTCAAAAGAATAAGGAACTGGAATTTTTCACTGAATGGAATTCGTTTCATTTGGTTGTGCATGATTATGAATTCTGTTAATTCGGTCAGTCACGAGGTTAATAATTTAGGGTTCTATGATGTTCAATTTCGTTGTCCATTGGTGTTCTTGGTCAACTTTTTGAAAATCAAAGTTGAAATTTACGAGATTTTGTATATGGTTAATTTATTTAATTGAAGAAATACAGTAAAATGCCGGATGCTGCAATGCATGAGTTTGAATTTGATAGACAAAAATTAAGGATAAATAATTCTTTAAAAAACATAATATAAGATATTTCAAATCAAACAGAGCAGTTAAGAACAATAATAAATAAATATAAAAAATAATTAAGTTTAAAATATCAACCAGTGAAAGACTTAGTCAAATATTTAAAATAATAATAATAATAAATATATAAATATAATTTAAATTTTAATTATTTTCCAACAGAATTTTGTGGGTAGGAAGAGTGTGTAGAATGATGTAAGAGTTTTGGTTTTGTTCCTTGTAAAATGATGAATTATGAAGTTGGTTGAGCTTTATTTAGTGGTCGAGGCTAGCTAAGTATTTTACTATTTAAAACTTAGAAGGTTTGAACTTTGAAGAACCATTGAGAAATTGTGTTAGGTAGGGGATAATGTAAACATTTTGAGTATGCATGTGGACGGAACATGGTCAGTTAAGTGGGTGAGTGTGATTTGTGAGTAGTTGATGGAATTTGTCATTTTCATTTGTAGGATGATTTGCCCTCAAAATCTCAGCACCAAGGTAGTCAGCTTAAAAATCGGGTTGTTTTTGGACTTGGTATTGGGATTAGTGCGGGTGGTGTTGTTTTGGCTGGTGGATGGATCTTTGCGACTGCCCTTGCTGCTGCTGTCTTCATTGGTGCACGAGAATATTTTGAATTGGTTCGGAGTCATGGAATGACTGAAGGAATGACACCACCTCCACGTTATGTATCGCGAGTCTGCTCAGTCATTTGTGCCTTGATGCCATTGTTTGTCATGTAAGATTGGTTAGTGCGCCATAATTTTCCATTAGCACTTGCATCTGGTAATCTTTAGTATTTGCATTTGGATAGCCATCATGATTTAACAATGAAAAGTTGTTGACATTTAATTTACATGTTGAGTGCAATTCACTCTCTGGATTTTATGTTGCTATACTTGTCATTTAATTTCTTATTTATTTCATAGCATATATTGCTCTTTGTGGTCTATGTTTTAAACTATAATGGAAATGAACTAAAAATGGTAGAAGGAAGGATAATGAAATTTACCTTGTGCATATTTAAAGACATTGGCAAGCTTTTGGGATCTGAAATCTTTCTCCCTCCCCCCAAAACTAAAAGAATGAATGAAATAGAAAACGTGAAATTTGTTACTGGTTGTCCCCTTGAAACATGTTATCATAAACTTCCTTACTCAAATATTATAACATTGCCCATTTAAGCTTATTATGCTTTCATTTTTCACTGGAGTAATGTATGAAGTAGCAACAATCGTCCAAGTTAGCAACTTATTTTTAGCTGCTAATCTAAAATAGTGATCTTTTCACATTAGGTTTGCCTACTTATCTTAGTAGCAGTCAACAATTATATCAGTTATACCACCCTTTCTTGTCAACATCTTCTTGGCTCTTTATCTCACTCAATTCGTTTCTAGTGTTATGTTCCTTCCACAAACCCACCTTTCTGGGAGCCATAAATAATTTGCTGAAGATTAGCTGCTCCTGTGAGGTAGTATTTTTTTTTTTTAAAACTTACCTTGATTGTCCTTCTATGTCAAAGGGACACCAAGCTACCAACAAAATATCATGTTTTATCTTGAGAAAGAAGAACACATTTGAGGATTTTAGTGCAAGAAGTATATTTTTTTACCATTGTTGAGGAAGAAGATGAAGATGGTTTGGGACCTTGTGTTGACAAATTCTGTCATTTCTAGCAGCTCATGTGATGATTTCAATCTCTATACATTAGGGTGATGTTATGTATAACAAAATGAAGTTTGTGTACCAAACATAGAAATGCTCCAAACTTTAAGGGATAATCTGTATTTAATCCTTGTAAGTTTGCTTTCTATATGTATTATGTAGGCACTTATGTGGGGAGCATCTTAAACATATTTATTTTTAAGTCCATAACTTCTGGTGTGGAAGATTGATGGATCTTGCTTGCTGATTGATTTGTATTTCTGATACATGCCAGGTATCGCGGTCATGTTGATGTTTCTGTGACTTCTGCTGCTTTTGTTTTGGCTATAGCATTACTCCTACAAAGAGGAAGTCCCCGTTTTGCACAGCTAAGTAGTGCCATATTTGGGTTATTTTATTGTGGATATCTTCCCTCTTTTTGGGTGAAACTTCGATGTGGTTTAGCAGCTCCAGCCTTGAACACAAGTAATTAACTTTTATATTTAGTCTTTCAAATTTAGTTCTGCTATTGTGGGGCTGGGGGAGATCAGATCTATTTTTTCTCAATCAATAAAAAAATTCTGTTTCACCAGTTCTACCCTTCATTGCTGGTTAAATCTTTTTGTAGTAGTAGTTTTAGAGATCAACGTATGCCACTGTGTTCTCTAACATACTTTATTATTGCAAGGAAATAGGAGTAATTATAATCTGGATATTGAGCATAGACACTTGTTTTGATGTATTACTGGTAACCATTTGTTGAATTCCATTTCACATGAATAATGTAGTTTAGCACTTAATTTGATGTATTACTTACTGGTTACCATTTGTTGAAGTCCATTTCACATGAACAATGTAATTTATCACTGTACTCTTCAATTTTCACCTTTGAAATGAGTAACTAAGTTCATTTGTATATGATTCCAAGTTTGAACCCATATTTGTGGATCCAATTGCACTCTTCGTTCGTTATAGTTGTTTAGTTCAAAATGTAAATACACTATTTAGGATGTGTCCTTGCCCTTGGCTGAAAGGAAATTACACTTCAAATAGTATAACATATGAAGTAAAGGACCCCATGGCAGCAAGTCTGGTATTTTTTTCCTCCTTGAATATGATTAATTACCTGGTTTTCTCTAGTTTAGAAACCAACTTGGTTATATATCTAGTTATTCTGCTTTCATGTGCAATGCTATGATGTTAGGTGCTTTCAAATTTTACTAGCTGCAGTAGCAGCTCTGATTTCAACAATAAGTACATTATTCAGGAAGCTTATATATGTTTACCCATTTTTCTGTATGTTATATTTTACAACACTTGTCGTTGATGTATGTTATTTTAGTTAGAATTCATTCATACATAATATATTATTTATTAGCATAGTTTTGTACTCCCTACTTTCTATATGGCTTGAATTAGTGCATGTCCTTAATAGATTATTATCTTGTAGGAATAGGAGCAACATGGCCTATACTTCTTGGTGGCCAAGCTCATTGGACTGTTGGTCTTGTGGCAACTTTGATTACCATAAGTAGCGTAATTGCAGCTGATACATTTGCATTTCTTGGTGGCAAGGTATTTAATTCGCTCTTTCAGAATTCCATAGAAATTTTTTATTAATCATTTAGATTTCGAAATGGTTTTTTTTGAATTCCAGTCATAATAAGAAAAAAATAAGTAATGTTCAAATAAAAAGAAAATTCTTTACGGGAATGATTGGTTTGTTGGAAAGGATGGGAGGTTAAAACTTCATTTCTGTCACTGTCTTTTATTACTAATACTAAGAAAATAATTTTTCAAAAAAAAAATACGAATTTGGTTGAAGGACAGAACAAATTGAATCCATTTATCAAAGATTCGATGAAATATTTGAATTTGTGAGTACATTTATGTATCAATAAAATGAATTGAATGTTATGATTAGAATGACTTCAAGAATCAATTTGGAAATAATGTATTCTTTTTATATTGATAAAATCCAAGATTAAGAAATTCTTTTTTTTTTATTATATTCTATTCACTGGGTAAATCCAATTTTTTGTTCTTTGATGAGTCATTATGCAACTAATATATATTGATGTATTTTTATTCTAATCCCATTTAATTTATATAATTTCATTTATATAATAGATATAAATTTATATAATAAGTATACATAGTAACAAATAGATGTACTAGTCATATTGGCTAGTTCCTTATTTACGAATTGAATGAAAAAGGGCCCTTTTAACTCAGTCTACTTGGTGACTGCCAAGTTGTCCTGTCATTTTTTTTAGCCTGGCTGCTTCTTAATATTTTTTCTTAACGAAGTTTCATATGATATTAGTAGTATTCAAAAAGTTTCTCTATATATTAATATAAAAAAATTGCTTTTAGTGAGATATCCTGGTCTTACGCTGTCTCACATCTCACAAAAATCAACTGGAGCATGTCTATAGAGTGGAACTATAGATGAATTTTATTCTGTTGGAAAACAAAATAATTAACACTACGGATGTACATATACTAAAGTTTGTTTACTATCTTGGGTACTAGTCCAAATAACTGATTCTCATCAATATTCTGTGCTAGTAAAGATTGCCAATTTATTGGTGAGAAATCTTCTTACATGTCTCCACATAATCTATGTGAAATTCATTACAATATCTCAAGGTTGATTAGACTTCACCTTTTTAGTGCTTTGTGTTCAATGGTTTGAAGAGTGGCATGCAATTCATTAGGCAACTTTTTGAACGATAATCTTTTGATTAGAAAAAATCTACTCCAAACGAGAAAGTGAGTAAATCTTCATAGGCACTAGTCTGAAGCTTTGTGTTGTGAAAGATTAGCACACATCATTTCTAAGTGGCATTAGTAGGCTGGCAGTAAACAAAATCCTGACTTTTTGGTGGAGCCAATACTTGCATTTACCTAGTATTTTTTTTTTTTTAAATCTCTTTCCTTTTATAAAAGTGTTTTACGCAGGCTATTGTACTTTTAAGTCCAAAGTTGGTATGCAACTGATTATTATGATGTCACAATATAAATTATTAGTTTACCTAGTAAAATTCAGACGGTTTATTTTTTGTCCGTTCGAATAATACACACTTAATCTGGCCTTAGTTATGAAGTTTTATTTTGTACCTTTGCAGGCATTTGGTAGAACACCACTCACCAGTATAAGTCCAAAGAAGACATGGGAGGGTACTATTATAGGCTTTTGTGGATGTATAGTTACTTCTGTAGTACTGTCAAAAATTTTCAGCTGGCCAATATCTTTATTAAGGTACCCTACTTGTGCTTAAAGTTAATGTCAGTATGTTATTCGATTCGTTCCACTTGTTTAAGAATTAAAAGTTTGAGTATCATAGTTCTTTTGTTCATTACAAAGTTACTTGTCTTCTGTTAATCCGTAGACTTTATTCTAGTCTAAGATGAACATTTGTACATTTACCATGCATCGTTATATCCTGTGAACAGTTATTGGCACATGGTAATTTGTGGTTTTTACATACATTTTCTTCAGTGCAATAGCACTTGGTGTTCTGAATTTCTTCGGGTCTGTTTTTGGTGATCTCACTGAATCAATGATTAAACGTGACGCGGGGGTGAAAGACTCTGGCACTCTAATACCTGGTCATGGTAATTCCTCTTTACTTTGTAATATCTCTGTGATACATGCCCTATTTATTTTACCGTTTGATACGAGAACTTTTACTGTAGACTGAAGAAATAGCAATATATAAACAAACCTGTTATTTTGGTTAAAGATGTGATTCGCATACAATAATTTGTTCATTATTTTGTATCTATCTCTCTTCATCATATTATTTATTAATCTTAATTTTCTCTCTTTCTTTCTTTTAGCTGTACAAGTTCATTAATAAGTAATTACTGATCATAAGGTTTAAAATTTATTTAAGATGTCATCTTGCCACAAAAGATGAACACCTCATGTTAGAATCTCACCTTATTTTTTCTCCATTAGAAAGTACTTGAAAGGTAGAACATATTTTATTAACTCCAATCAATGCAGGTGGAGTACTAGACAGAGCTGACAGTTATGTGTTCACGGGTGCTCTAGCATACAACTTAATCAAAACCTTTTTACCACTTTATGGAGTATGACATGAAACAGTGGTAAGTATTGCTTCAAGTTTGTTTAAATTTAGTCTACTTATAGTTTAACGCAATATATTGTCAGTAAATATTTAGTAACATAATCAAATTAATTAAGATATTTTATCAGCTATAAACTTTTTACTAGTTAGGTGGTTTCTACATGGCATGTTCATTGACAACGTGGACGCGTTACCAACAACAAATTGAATTTAAATACTCGTTCCTAAATTTGGACGAGCTTCTTTGTGGGAAAAAGAGAATTTTTCTGATGATCGTCAGAAGAGGAGCAGCAGAAATTTCTTATCATCCCAGGCCAAGTTGACCATGGTGCATTGCTGCTGCTTTCTCGCTTAGCGAGAGGCCATGGATATGAGGACCAAACGGGTAACATTGGTTGTAATTTAACTTGTAAATAGCCACAATTGGATTTTATTTTTTATTTTTTTTTAAAAGGTTGCAGTGGCTCCAACAATTATTTTGATGTTTTGCTAACCAATAATCTAAGGATACTGTTGAACAATCATTACGAATCACGTGGTGCTAGTGGAAGTAAACTTTTATTGTTGTTCATCATTGATATATTACTTATTGTATTTAGTTATCATGTGATTGAAGGCACTAGAAACATGTGACATATCTGAATCACATTTTAGGGTTTGTGGAATAAAATGTAAAATAGCTAAAAAAATGGTGGGAATAGTTAAAGTAAACATTAAATTATACTAACAAAGGCTTGATGATGGATGGAGGAAAAAGGACAAATTATGTTAATTTAATATTCATCCATTATATTACCATTATTAACACAGACTCACACCAAACACGTCAAGCAAAAGAAAAGAAAATCATCTAGCGACTGAAGTGTGCTCAGATCTACTTCTCTAGTTCAACAAGATTGTTATAGAGCATACAATAATTTCCAACAAAAAGAGATCATAGAGTAATAAGGGACTTCACAATAAAAAAACACACTTAAATTTATTTTTCATAAGAGCATGTGGTTACTAAAGTTCAAGTTTACCCATAATGATTATAATAAAAATAAACATAGTGAAATCATAATGCATTTATTCTTTATGGGGGGATTTTTAACTATGATCGTTGACTACTGGTAGATAAACTAATATAAGTTAATTGAAAACAACTGATAGATATATGTCTATTCTCTAAGTTTCTTCCATTGTTAGAGCAGACCAAATCCAAATATTTTAAGATAAGCACCCAGTTCCATCCATGTTTCTCATTACCATACTCTATACGCATTTTCCTCAGACACATGAACACCTAATGAAATAAAATAATGATTTCAATCTGTTTACGGTTGTTATCAAACAATTTTTTTTTTTCATTTTACTTATATTTATTCTTCCAAAACTTCAACTTATTATTCTCAATCCTTAAAATGGACAATTTTTATAAAAATTAATTTTATTATAAAATTTGAAAACATTAATTTAATATTTAGAATTCATTTTAAGATAAATAAATAATATTTCTTTTAAGAATTAAAATAAACGAAAGTTTAATATAACTTAGTTAATGTCTATAACAAATGTCGGTTATCTTAAAGACATACATCTCATAATATTAAGGAGAGAAAAAAGGTAATATTTTAACTCTTTTTAACAAGAAAGAACAAATTATAAAAATAAAAACGAAACTCACTAACTGATTTGATTAAATTAAAGAAACGTTATAAAATCAATTAACACCACATAAAAGTTGAATATATAGTCGTTATTAAATATTATAGGAGTAGATGGTATTATTCATATTAAATTAAATACAGTGCCGAAAACACAATAATTTCAATGTCCACTAAGTGATTATTTGGTTTGCATGTGGATTTGTAGTGATGAGTACTTCGTCCACAGAGCAAGGTTATTTTGTTTACATAAACCAATTTGTTACTATATGTATTTTTTTTTTTCATTATTGTGAGTATTGTAAAAAATAATAATTAAAAAGGTAGAATATTAATGTGAGATGTGATGCAAGAAAGAAAGGGTTCGTTATTGTTATGAAGAGGACAGACAGAGACATTGAATGAGTGGAACCAAAGCAGGTGGCAAAACCCGAATCTTACTCACAGCCTCTCAATGCCACACAATTATTCTATATTTTCAATTTTTTAATTTAAATGTGTGTGTGTGTGTGAAATTTAAGATAAATTAAATATTTAACAACATAGAATTATGACCAAGATAAAGAAAAAAAAAGAGTGAATAATTGTGATCACCCATGAGTACCTACAATAAGTGAAGGACAGATGAAAGTGTAGGGTATGTTCCATCCAAACAAAACCTCCTACCTTTTACTTTGAGAACAAGTTATCAGCTATATTTTTTCATCAGAAATCTATACAATATTTATTGAATAAATAGTTTCAGTAGTTCAGAATGTGTTTGATATGTAGGACATGAAGAGTTGTTTCAACCGTCCTTCAACAACTCAGCCTGCACTTTTCTTTTTGGTGGAGACTCAAAAACAATCATAATAAATAAAAATAAAATAAGATGTCACCTCTTTTAAATTAAAAGTCAAACAAAAAAAAGAAATTAAAATTTATATACAATTACAAGGGATTTAACTTTTCTTTTTGTCATCCTCAAGCAACGCACTAGTTGGGTCACACATGTCTTGGGCCGGGCCCACTTACACTTCTTCCACATTTTGTTTTGGTCAGAGTTAAAATAAGTCTTTAACTTCTTTCACCTACTCTTTCTTATATAACCTCCCATTTATTTTGAGATGGAGTTAGTATTTTTTTTACTTATTAAAACAACTTAATAAAATCTAGTTTAGAATATATCAAAGATAATTCAAAAAATTAATAAAAATAAAAAAACACTTGATAAATATTATTATTACAGTTGTTATAAATTAGTTTAGATTCCCCAATAAACTCATAAATGGAGTGATTTTATAAAATAATAATTATTTTATAAAATAATAAACTGAATTATTTTTTCAACATAAACAATATTAAACTTAAAATTACTATAGTTGAACAAATATAAATAGCACATATTATAACACTTATTTTAAGTGGTCCATTAAAATCAATCGAATCAGACCAATTAGATTCATTTATCAATTATAATAATAATAAAAATAATAATATGTGTTAAAAATATACTATGGATTAAATTATTCATTAGAATTAAAATAATTAGTTAATATAGTTAGTAATATTAAATTTATCTCAAATTCATATTTTTTTTAAATTATTTTTAACATTAAAGAAATATGTTTTTTATTTTTATTTTAATTCTTTTATTCCTTTTCAATGCTAATATGTTTGTTGTGATAGTTTCTAAATATTTTTAAAAATTATCTCTAATATTGTAGAAATATATTTTTATTTATTCTTTTTAGTTTTAATATCTTTCATTATTAATATATTTATTGTGTTAAATTTTAATAACTACTTGTCAATATTTGAAGTATATTTTAAGATATTTTTTATATAAGAAAAAATTAGACTAATTTTATGAAAATATTGCTTTATTTATCATTAATCGAATTTATAAAAATACTCACAATCAAAGATGATTTTTTTAAGAAAAAAAAATAAAACTGAAAGTGGTTCCTAAATTTGAACCTTGTTTATTATATGTAAAGTTATTGTAAAACATATTTTAGATTTTTATAATAATAATAATAATTATTATTATTATTATTATTATAATTATTACAACAAATAATTCATTTATCAACCAATTCATAATAATAATAATAATAATTATTATTATTATTATTATAATTATAATTATTATTATTACAACAAATAATTCATTTATCAAGCAATTCAGTTTGGTTTCTTTGTTATATATATATATATATATATATATATATATATATATATATATATATATATATATATATATATATATATATATATATATATATAATATAGTTTGGTTTCTTTGTTCTCTCTCTCTCTATATATATATATATGACACACATCTTTTCCCGAGTTTGTGTTGCATCTTCAATGAGTACCATCGTATGCTAACCCTGATAATGAAGGTAGTCCATTATTTCTCTGTTTTATTGTTTTATTTTTTAATTCTGTTAAAATTTCTGGTTCAATTTATGTGAACAACTAGAACATGTTCCTGAATCATCCAGATGATACCATCGCCCCATCTGTATGTGTGAATTTGGGATGGTTTTTCCCACTTCGAGACTAATTTTAAAGTTTTGGTATGCTGGGAAGCAAAATTTAGTCATGTTTTTCTGGCAAACAATGATGATAGACGAACCTTGTAGCTAAGATTCGAGTTTTTTTTTTTTATTTGTCTACCACAGTTTTGTCTCTTCCCTCTGCACCCTTTTGGATACGTGTTGAAAGAGTGATAAATTCTCTAAATTATTCTATAGTGCAGATTGTTGCTTGATTCAATTCCCATTTAAGCAATCGGTTAAAGATCATATCTGTAGAAGATCAGTGGGTTTACTTTCTGAACTTTTTTTCCATTTATTTTAAAATTTTACTTCAAAAGAGCGATTTTATTTACCTGGAAACTAATTAATAACCACATGTGGTCATTCTTATTTTTTCCTCTTCTATGTTTCAAGATCGGCATCTGTTCTGTGCTCGTCATCTTAATATATGTTCTCCCTTTTGTTTCTATTCAGATCTTGACATTTATTGAAGTGAGTGTTGTTTGTTTCTCAGATTACCTCTAATGATGAATGATCATATGCTGAAAATTCAAGTTTGATGCTGAGGTTCATCCATTCACGATTTCCAGCACATACTCTTGGTTGTGTTTGACAGAGACACTGGGAATGCCAAAAAGATGTGTCTTCTTTATTTCACCTATGCAGCTGAGATCCATAAGGTGATGCCCTTACTCTTGATGCCCCACTTAATGCTTGGTAAGAGCGGATCACAAGTTTGTCGCCCATTCATTAGCTATTCCTTGATGCACAATAGGCACACAAGTTTTTTTAGAGTGTCTGTTCTGCTGATACTTGATCCATGTGAAGACGGTTGAAACAACTTTCGGCTATATGTATATAGTTTTAGTTATACACACACACACACACTTTATAATAACAAATGATACAGAGTTTAAGTGGGTAGAGGAAGTTGTGTAAAAGTTCATATGGAGAGTAAACCAAATATGTTAATGCAAAGATATGAGTTAGGAAGATTACTCGGCCAGGGAACCTTTGGAAAGGTTTACTATGCTAGGAGTGCACTAACTAACCAGAGTGTGGCTATTAAAATGATTGACAAAGATAAGATTATGAGAACTGGCCAAGTTGAACAAATCAGGCGTGAAATATCTGTTATGAGATTGGCTAGACACCCCAATATCATACAGCTTTTTGAGGTTATGGCCAACAAGAGTAAGATTTACTTTGTTATGGAATATGCTAAAGGTGGTGAGCTCTTCAACAAGGTGGCCAAAGGAAAGCTCAAGGAAGATGTTGCACATAAGTATTTTAAGCAGCTAATCAATGCTGTAGATTTTTGTCACAGTAGAGGTGTGTACCACCGAGACATAAAGCCTGAGAACATTCTATTGGATGAAAATGGTAATCTAAAGGTCTCTGATTTTGGCCTAAGTGCTCTTGTTGAATCCAAGAGGCAGGATGGTTTACTCCATACTCCTTGTGGCACACCTGCTTATGTTGCTCCTGAAGTCATCAAAAGGAAGGGATATGATGGTACAAAAGCTGATATTTGGTCTTGTGGAATAGTTCTGTTTGTCTTGTTGGCTGGTTATCTCCCTTTTCATGACCCAAATTTGATAGAGATGTATAGGAAGATAAGCAAAGCAGAATTAAAATGTCCTAATTGGTTCCCACCAGAAGTATGCAAGCTATTGGGCATGATGTTGGATCCAAATCCTGACACTAGGATTCCCATATCTAATATTAGGGAACATTCTTGGTTCAAGAAAGGACCAAATGTTAAAAACAAAAGACCTGTAGTGGAAAACAACACTGTCTCTTCTTCAGGTACTGTTCTTCCTGATCAAAATGATTGTGATATTCTAGCAGCAGAAGCAAACGGAGAGTCAGTTGCTCCCTTAAGTATAAATGCCTTTGATATTATCTCCCGTTCTGTGGGTTTTGATCTTTCTAGATTCTTTGATGACAGTTTTCATAAAAAGGAAGCAAGATTTAGTTCAAGGTTACCTGCAAATGCCATCATCTCCAAGCTGGAAGACATTGCTAAGCAACTAAGGATGAAAATAAAGAAAAAAACTGCGGGTTTGTTGAAATTAGAGGGTTCGGATGAAGGTAGAAAGGGAGTTTTGACGATTGATGCAGAGATCTTTCAAGTTACACCTTGTTTCCATTTGGTGGAGGTGAAAAAATCAAATGGAGATACATTGGAATATCAGAAAATATTGAACGATGATATCAGGCCCGCTCTTCAGGATATTGTTTGGGTCTGGCAAAGTGATCAACAACTGCAATCACAACCGTCAGAAGAACAGCAACAACGACATACAGATGACCAGCAGCAACAACTTCTGCAGTCATAACCTGTTTTTAATTTTGAGATGTCATGCTCACTGCATTTCATGGCAATCCCAGTTCTTTTTTCTTTTTCTTTTTATTATCTTTTCCAAATTTTGTTTTTGCATATCTTGCATTTCACGATGCTATAACCTCTTTGTATCACTTATTCCTCATTTTTAGCTGCTTCACCTTGTTGTAGCATATCTTGTCTCAAAATTTTGTTTGCAAAGTCGATGCCACCGTTTCTCAAATTTTCTGTATAATATGAAGCTTGAAAGAACTTTTGTCCAGTTTTGGTTCAACCAAAGTAGAGTCTAAATATATGTCTTAGGAGATTAATGACTTTACTTATACTTTAGAGGAACTAAACCCTAAATATATATACCAATTTTTTGTGAAGCCAATCCACTCAAGACAGTATTAATGCTCAAATGCATAGGAGGGTTGCCTGAGGAACAAACACATTGTGTCAGAAGATACTGGGTGAAATTGGATCCCCACAGTTGATAATTGAATTGCATGAAGTGCAGTTCTAAATCTGATGGAGGTTAATTTGCGGATGGAACTTTCATATTTCAATTTAATACAAAACCAAATCATTTGAAAGGTTAGGAGTTGTGCAGTTATAAAGTGTAACTTCAGAAGATCTCAATCCTTGTTTGGTAGTAATAGACAACGATAGTTTCTAATGGCTCCTCATGTTTGAAAGAAATGAAAACCTTTTTAATGAGGGTCGTGCTAGCCTCAAAATATTGGTTGTTTATAAACTCTGTCCAGAGGAAACTTCCTCATTTCTTGATACTCCAAAGACCTTTGTCTCTTTATTATTGTTTGCACATAATGATTAGAACTTTGTCTCTTAGCATTTGATAACAGCATCAATCGCTTTAAAAAAAATGTTAAATAAATTTCTCAATGAAGAGTTATTGCATTAGTTTTTGCTAGGATCCAATTGGAAGGTACGAAAATTGAGTCTCACGTTATAGAAATATATGATTCTAGTATGCAGTTTATATGGCCCTGGACTCTACAACTACAACCATTAGCTTTTGTGGTGTCTTCTAAAGGTTTTTATCAATTGGTATTAGAAACCTTCCACCATGTATTAACCAGCTATTATTCAATGTCATATGACACTAATTTTTGAAGGACTAAGATAATCATTTACTCATGAAAGGGTCTCTCGTTTATTTCAAAAGAAAGGATAAATAAAAAGCAGTTATCATAATATGCATGCTACCGACCAAGTTTTTAGACACCTTATCTAAAATTGTCATCTGCTTCATCCTTTTCAAAAACACTTTAATTCAAATTCAATGTTCCATGTGCCAAAAGCAAAACAAAGGAAAGAAGAGATAGACCTGGTTTTCGTTCACAACTGAGGTTATCTTTGAACCTCTATATTATGTGACGTAAAATTATCATTGCAAATTTTCAGCAACTGTGACTGCTACCGAAGTGCAAGCACAAGAAGTAAAATAGCCAACGGTTATCACATATCAACTCAAAAAATTCATGGGCCGTTGTTATTGGTTACAAGTAGTAATATTATTTAGGAATTAACATTTCTTTAGGTAAATTACACAAAACTCTCCTAAGATTTGAATAAATTATATGGATACCTCTTCTGTTCTAGAAAAGAATGCCCGAACAAGCTTGTTAATTTGTTTTGGTTAGTTATGTTTTTACTCTTTTATCTTATCTAAATCATTTGATGACTTCTTCATTGTCAAAGGACGCGAGCTTATGTTTTCATCTATTTTCTCAAATAAAAGAAAGTAAACAAAAAATTGAAACTTTATAAGGTTCCAACATAAAACCAATTGGTAATATGTGGAATAGTCTAACATGTATTTAAATGATACCAAATGACATGAGGTAGGCGATGTGGGACTTTCAACACACCCCCTCCAACAAAGCCTACCAGACTAGACAAAGGGTACTTTTGACCCAACTAAAGGGCAACTTTTGGCCCACAACAATAACCGGAAACATGTTAGGCTTTGGCTCTCATACCATGTTAAGGTTCCAACATAAAACCAATTGGCAATATGTAGAGTAGCCTAACATGTATTTAAACCATACCAAATGACATGAGGTAGGCAATGTGGGACTTTCAACAAAACGAATAGTCTGTGTCCAATTTACTGGGATCGAACTAGTAATATTCATTTGGTATTAAAAAGTTGGTAGTATTGAAGGTAGAGAACACAAAAAATGTTTCATAACATTTTTCATGCCAATAATTACTAACACTTATCGATTATGTCCATTACTGGAAAAAAAACTCCTTTGCTAAGAATACAAATATGGTAGAAAGAATTTTCAGCAGTAATTCAAACTTAAGCAAATAAACAAGATTATATTTATTCGTTCAGATTTCTCAATTCTTATACCGGAAACAAACTGCTTTGTGTGACCCTTATCAGAGAAAGATAATCGGGTGTGACAACAGATTATTAAACAACTAATGTTTTCTCACCACATAGCTGTGACATACCAGAAGCCTTAGAGCTGAACAAAGTTGGGGGAACTTGTTAAGTCGATAAAATCAGTAACAGATGAAGAAACTCTTCTCTTTTTCCTATCCGAAACACTTCTGCAACTAGGAGAAGGGGTAGACAAATCAATAATCTCAGCTTCATGAGGCAAAACAAATGTGCTGCCAACAGTTCGATTTGTATTGGCTGCCAATGTAGCACCTGATTGTGCTGGTTGAATCAAACAAGCACCACTTTTATTCATCAAATCCATAAAATCAGCTTCTTCAATGATCTCTATTCTTTGTAATGAAGTTGTTGTTGTGGTTGATGATTTATTTGTCAGTGGTGTTGTAGAACTAATCGGTAGGCGCTCCTCTTGTGAAGAGAATGAATTACCTGGTGGTTCTCTTGCTTCTGATTCTTTAATCCACTCAAATGCTTCACTAATCTTCTCCACGTGGGTCTGATTTTTTGGTGAATCAGGAGTGACTAAATCATCACTAACATCGGGAGCAGAACCACTAGCACTAGTATTATTATTACTATCAAATTCTACATCATCAATATTATCCTCTTCATTGTCTGACAAACCATTGATACTATAGCATGGAAGTTCATCCAGGGAACCAATCTTGGTCTTCATGTGCACTGGCAAGCTCGGGCAACCAGCACAGTGTTTCGTGTACTTAGTGGAGAAGAAGTTCACAGTGATATTCATGCTGTGATAATTTATATCATGTCAACATCAAACACCATATCATAGGTCCATTCCAGCAAAAAAGAATGTAAAATCCTACTTGTATAGAGATGGAGTCCATACCTCTGCCAGGATGGAAGGGTGAGCATTGTGTATGCAAGTTTAATCTTATTGGCAATTCCTGAGAGGGATTTAAATTCCACAGCTGCCTTCCTTACAGCCAACGATTCAACAGGGTGCTGCCAAGCCCATTCAAACTGCAAATCTCGAATCAAGTTAACAGAAAAGCATTTTCTTAAAATTTGGCATTTAAAAAGCATAATATGTTTGCTTTCTATTTGATCCAATCATGCCAAACTTCTCAAGCAACCAGACCAACTCATCTATGTCATTTAAAGCCCATAAAATTAAGTTTACAAAGAAAAAAACAGGGAAATGGATAAACCGAAATTATTAGTGTTATAATCTGAGCTCAATATCCATATTTTCCACAAACTGTGAGAATTTAAAAATGATGGATGTCAGTTGCCAAGTACATCTAGTAGCAAATTAGTCCTATTGGAAAGTGATACTGCATCAATGATAGACATGATCCCTGCATGCTTGGTAATGACTCCATAAACTCGGTCTCTCAGCATTCAACTGATATATCCTAATGCTTAGCACTTCACGAATTTAACTTGCTCAAGCAACCAACAACTCAATTAACTTCGAACATCTTAGCCAACAACCACATGATATAGAAAGCATTATCAGACTCAAACCTGAAGAGCAGAGACATTTGTTGGGAAGCCATAGATACACAACACCATCTCCCAAGGCCTCCTCTTCTTCGTTCTCCAAGCTCCACACCCAATTTCCCCATTGTGTTGCCTGATCCGGCGCCTTGGATTCACTGTAAATCTGAAATTGCATACAAGGAAACATAAACACACAGACTACGAGCATAAGATTCATAACAAAAAGTTGGATTTTTAAAAGAATAGTTAAATACCCAACCCTTATCCCAAAACAAAACTCCAAAATTTTCAACAAAAAACAAAAGTTGAAGCAGAAACCTTAGAAAAATGATAGTTAAATACCCAACATTTCTACCAAAATAATTTTTTTTTTTCCAAAATAACTAGCAGCAGAGAGGACCATCAGATCATAAAGGCACCAACTTGAAATGAAACAGAAACCAAAGAAAGTGGCTGAAACCCAAATTTGTATAAAGTGAAAACCAAAAGGGATGTAGGTGATTTTTGGATTGAGTAAAAGGGTGTGATCAAAATTTGATATTTGAGAAGTGAAAATAAGAGAGATGAACCCGATGTAAGTGTGGCCTTTGTAGCGAGGGCTGAGAGAGGTCAAGAGGTAGCAAGCAAAGAAACCATTTCCTTCGCAATTCTCTTTTTCGTTTTGGTTATTGCCATGGTTTTGCACAATTTCTTCTTCTTCTTCTTCTTCTTCTTCTTCTGTCACAGACGTAACCCTTTTCTTCCGCATCTTTCTCATTCTCTAATGAATGAAATATGACCGTTGACAGATCTTAGATATGTCTATGATATCGCGTAGTTAAATTATGTTTAGAACATACATTATACCATATATTCCACGGAAGAAAGATACTTTAAAAAAAAAAGAAGAAAGAAAAAAATGTGTTCTACAAATTTGATTTTAAAAAGATTGTTACGTGCTGCGTAATAATGACTAATGTCAAATGTGTAATTCTAGAAATTTTGATTTGATTTAAATTTTGTAAATTATTATTTTGTATAATGTAAGTTGGTGACACACTCGCGTTGTTGATACAGAACAAAATATCTGCTTTATTTACCATCAATATTTTCTATGAGAAACACTATTTATATTTAACAAAATCTTATTGATAATTGAAGTATCAATTTTTTTTTTGAATTAATTTATAAACAAAATATTTTAAAAAAATTATTTAAATAAAATCTTTTTAATTTTATTTATCTAATTTATATATAAATTTAATAAAAAAATAAGTCTGTCTTGTATAATATAATTTTTATTATTATTTTTTTCTCTCTCCATTTATTTTTTTACTATTCTATTTTTTATTTAGTATTTATTGTTTTTCTTTTTCTTTCTTTTGTTTTTCTTTTAATTTATCTTATTTTTCAACCAAAAATATTAAATTAAAATTTAATAATGTAAATATTTTTTTAGAAAATAAAAATGTTTAAATGATTAAAAATATTATAATTGAATATATTATATTTTAAAAATATTATGTGATAAATTGTAGATATTATAAATATTATTATTATGTTATAATTGTTAAAAAAACTAAATATTAACATAAAAAATAAAGACAAATATTATTGTTGTGTTATAATTAAAAAAATATATATTTATATATAAGTAAATATTACCAATTTCTTTTTTATAATAAAAAAGTTATCAAAAAATATTTACTAAATATTTTTTTCTTTTTAATAACCAAATTATCAAAAAATTATTAAAATATCATTTTTATGTTATAATTGAAAAAAAAACAAATATTTACATATAATTGTAAAGGCAAAAAGTATTATTTTTTGTTTAAGGTATTTATATAATTTTATATATTTTTGCTTACTACACAAATACAAAAGAAAAAAGTTTTTCTGTTTAATTCTACTAAACAATCTCAAATTTAATTTCACCTTTTCATATATATATATATATATATATATATATATATATATATATATATATATATATATATATATATATATATACACTTTTTTTCTTTACCTTTCCTATCTGATTTAAACATATCCTGAATTTGAATAATTTTCTTAACCGAAAATTCCTAACATTTTTATGAAAAGTGAATCTCTTCTTCTAAACTCAACTGTCAATGATTCTCATACAAAAAATTGTATTGTTTAGTGAAGTAGTTTTATTTTGTCATTAAAAAAAAAAAAAGTGATCTTAAGATCTTAACCTTGACAAAGCCAAATTCAATAGAGATACTCCAGCAATGCTAAAGCACCCATTTAAGCGGTTTACATCAATGACATTTTTAATTGAAAGTTATATAAACAGGTGTTTAATTGGGGAAAAAGTTAGAACAAGTTACAACTATTAATTTCGTTAAGATTTAAAAAAAAAGTAATAAAAAAGAGTAAAGAAAGCATTTGAAATAAACTATAACTATAAAATATAATGAAAAGTCCATTATAAATCCAAAGTTTTATTAAAAAATTGTAATTGAAAATTGAAGAGATGAGACCTACATGAAAATAATTATACCTGTAAAGTAATGAAGATGTAAATTTTCTAACTCATCCCATTAATTTTTCTCTGAAGTAAATCATTTTAGGGTTAGTGAGACTTCCACCATTGATCTTATTTATAGAAAGTTTGCCAGATCACTGAATGTTAGTGGCATTCTTGGAAGAGGGCTTTTTAAGGAGGAACTGTCCCTAGCAAAGGCCAAGGAGCCCTGACACAAATGTTTGTAGGTCCTAAAGAAGAATCAATGTCAGCAAGCTAGGATATTGAATCCGTTAAAATAACATATTTTCAAGTTTTTTTTTTTTTTATAAGACGAACAAATAGTTTGAAGTGTTTTATACGACAGTAAGACAGATTTGGTCACAATAGTTTCATAAATACACCAAATTTCCTCCCAGTCTTGCATGTGGCATGTGCTCAAAAGTCCCAAGCAAAGTAACCAAGAAGATATTATTAATGGTTGTAGTGATAATTGATAAAAAATGGAAGATGCTACGTAATCAAAGATGGGGGACCAAAAATCAAAGATTTACCATAACTCAATCGAACTTGTTTAAGATGAAAAGTTTCAAAAATAAATTATTATTACTACCACGAGCTCATTGGCAGAAATCTAAGAGAGGGACTTTTCCTCAAGTTTTATGAACAGAAAGGGCTAAAACTGTATGATAACAGGGCTAAAACTGTATTAGGGATCAATCAATAATATTCTCTCTCTAACAGGTTGGGTAATATGCAAGACAATCTTTCCTCTCTCTCAATTTTGATCACCTTTTAACCATTCTGCGCTTCTTGCATTACTAAGCATAGCATCAAGGGGAAAACCAACGTCAATGATTCATAAACATTATGACAAAAAAGAAAATGAAATGAAAACAAACCAAATTGCAATAAATTTTATATCTCTTCTCATTTATAGAACAGGTATCACTCTGGCATAACAAAAGGTATGCTACAGTAAAAGTCAAATTAAGAATTAACAATGATACTAATTGGGAGGAAAATATCTTGTTCCAAATGTTACATAAATTTGTAATTCTGGACCCTATCATAATCAAGACAAATTCCCATTTCTTATTCTGGTTTGCGACAACCAGCGCAGGATGATGCATAAATTAGATAAACCATCATAGAAATTTTCCAAACTATTACTAGTGATCCATACATCGATTCAACAACCCTCAATTGAATTCATCTAATTTTCCATGTTATTCTATACTGCAGAAATTTTATTCTTTGCCATGCCTGTTCCACTCCCATGTAACTTTTGACAATCCTGCATAAACACCACCAGGTACCTTGTGTTGCTAAACGATAATAACTAATGCCTGCAACTAAATCTCATTGAATCCAACAAGAGAAGAGCATCGTTACTCCTCGTGGAAAACCCATATTACGTTACCTTCTCTCCTAAATAATTGCTAAAGTAAACAAACCATACTCAAGTATTGAAAATCAAAGTGAATAGTCCCTCAAGTATAGAAAGATCCTTCAAATTAGTCCCCGAACGTTAGTAAAATATATCAGTGTAGGGACTACTTGAAAAGCTAAATTGATGGTTTATTCTAAGAATTTTGCATAAGTAAAAACTAAAAACAGCACACACGTCGTTTACGATGATATACCAAAAGCATACGCTTCATCTTCACTATCAACATTATAATTGCAGTTATAACATTTTCACCATTCAAAAACAACAACAAAAACACCAATACTATATGAACAACAGCTGCATGATACACAGCATCCAAATTGACCCTTACAAATTACAACATCAGAGGCAACGTTGAATCACCCATTTTGGGCCTATGGAGTTCATGGAACCGAACAAGTGTAACAACACACATTACGATCTCTTGGAAGTGTTAGAGATCAAATGCCTCCACAGATACCGCCCACTAGCCATATCCACGAAGGTCCAGAACCCAGACTCTACCAGAGCGCGAACCTGGATCAAACAAATTTAGGGTTACGTTAAAAGGGCAGCGCATTTGTGAAATTGAGGCAAAAGGGTGAAGTGGGTGAACCTTGGAAGTGCAATTGGAGGAAGGGTCGGAATCGTCAGAGATTTTGGGGTTGGAAGGCACAACAACCGCGTCGCCGTCGTCGTCGGTGGTTGGAGGCTGAGATCTGAGGTTTCGGAGGACGAAGAAACCGGCGAGGGTTGCGGACAAGAATACGAGAATGAATCTGAGAGGACACATTTTGCTCTCTGTAGAAGAAAGAAGGTGATTGAGGAACAAGCGCGTGTGTGGTGCACACTCTTTGGACACAAGAAACTAATGTAATTAACATTCATAATATCCCTTTAAGATAAAGACTCATTGTAATTAGTTTTATTATTTTAATTATTTAATATTTATTGTGTAAGTGTAATGGACACTCGCTGAACACCCAATAGAAAGAGTCTCATGTGGTTGGTGGGTTTAGATGAGATGAGAAACTCAAACTCTTTGAATAATGATTTTGATAATGACAGTTGCCATAGTTTAATTTGAGCACTCCTAGCTATGCATGTGTCTCAGATTTTGAAAAGCTTTTTTTAGTGTTTGTGTTTTTGGTTGACCAATTTTCCATTTTGAAGTAATATTGTGTTAGGTATGTATCAACTATGAAGTGAGAACAGTAGTTGTGTAAGTACATAAAAGAAGTAATTCAAGTTTATATTATTATACATGAATAGTTAATGTTAAAAATTATTAATGATGGTTTTAAAAAGTTTTCACCTTTTGTTGTTTAATTATCATCTCGTGTAAATATGAAAATTTAAAATCTCGATAAGAATGGAGTTAAAATGATATTTTTACTTACAATTTTGAAACATTTACATTCATTTTCATCATTTCAAGGATTAGTTAGAGAACCCTACTGCTCTCCTCTGATATACTAAATCTGTCATTTCATATTGAGCTATCAGCAAAAAATTTGTTCACTTAATTCATTTAAAAAAAATAAATAAACATTTTCTCAAAAATTAACAGTAAACAATGAATATTGAACCAATTAAATCCGTCTTTAATATGAGAAGATTGGACCATCTTGGTGACAAAATTTGTAGGTAAAATGGAACTTTCAAAATAGCCACCGTCAGCATTAGATTCCAATGTGTCATTTAAACTGCTACACAAGATAATGGCATTCATTCTCAACTTCTCATGGAAAATAATAAATAAATAGCCTTTAAATCAAGTGTGGGCGGCTGAAAGAATAGGGTTAGGTTTCCCTGAAAACTAAAGTGGTAAGCATGACATGCATGCAACCATTCTTTTTTACCAAATAAAATAATGATTTTAAACAAAAAAGAACCTAAAAAATGTCATGAAATAATTTCTTGAAATGCCACTAAAAATTAGATGATGAGAGGCAAAAAATAAATTAGGTTTGGCCTGCCATGTGGCAACTGAAGTCTGCATTACAAACAAACGAGTTCAGTTCACTATGCCTATGTGCTGTCTTGAATATATAACACATCTGCACCAGAAAGAAAACATGATTAACATGGTATGAGAAAATGAAAAACAGGATGTCGTGCACACATACTTTGTCATGCAAAAGATGTATAAATTGTTGCTATGCACGCTTGGTGGATGCAATGAGCAAAAAACTTAAGAAAAGATAAGATCACCTTATTATCTTTTGGCAAATCGAGTTATGTTGGCTAAAACAGTTCTCAAGCTGCGGATTCCTGCTCCAGATTTTGAGCTTACCATCATCTGCAATAGAGACAAAAATTCAAAGCTTAATTCCAAGATTAATATCATAAAAAGTAAAAAATATAGAATGAACAAATCTGCTAAAAGAATCAGCATACCAGAGGCTTAACTACAGACTTGTTCTGCAAGAGGCTCTGTGATCAAGCATGCAGAAACTTGTTAATCTCCAAAATAGAATCTTAATTTTCAGACAAAAGGTTCATTTGGATGACCAATACTTGCCTCTTCAATTTGCATGGCACGTCGTGCCACATCAATTGGAAAGACCACATCTGTCTTAGTTAATACGATCTGATATTTAGTTTTTGATCTGCAAGTTGATATGACTCGTCAAAAAATATTAGGTATGACCGTCCAATTTAAGTTTATATGATCAGATTTTAAGTCACTTGTATTTGTTAATAACACCAATTGCCAATACATATCACAACAATGCATGCCACCAATTGCTCCTGTATGATTTACCTTTCCATTAATTCAATTAGTTCATGATCTCTTGGTTTCATACCCCATTTTGTATCAATCAGAAGGCATACTCGTTTGAGGCCAGCTCTTGTGGAAACATACTCCTTCACCTACAATTTGAGGTTTTCCAGAAACACAGTTGACCAGTGCTTAATATAATAATACAACAATAATCCACTTCATGAACATTTCTACAATAAAAGGGAAAATGGAAAATGGAAAATGCCAACGCATATGATTCCATATGCCATCCAAGAGTGAAGACAGAAAGATAAACAAAGTGCAAAGGCTTTATAGCTCAAGCTAAAAACCAAGTCTTGTCTAGCTTTCACTAAATTAATCAGTTGACAATAGGTTGTATTATAAAGTTTTTAGACTAATAAACAACCATTAACTTTTAACATATTCGAGATTGGCCAAGCATTGATAGATTTTCTATTTCCGAGTGACTTGCGTCGTATGGAAAACAGGAAAAGACAGGAGGGAAATAAGAAAATATGGGTTTTTGTTTTCAAATGAACAGAAATGAAACTCGAGAGGCAGAATCCTCTTACAAGGGACGTCTCCTTTTGCACTGAGAATGATCAGTTTGTATTGTTTTCTCCAATCTAATGTAACCTCTCTTACAACCCCCACCTTCACCCCAAATTCAACTCCAAAAGGAAACTCTAGTAACCAAGCTCGTTAACCTCCAAATAAATTTAAACGTAGCTTGTTAAACTACGAATAAAAACTGTGGTAACTTAAAGAGTCTCCTGACACATTAACGACATATTATAATTATAACAGTTTATTCCAACCACAATAAACCCTCCAAACCTTATTCTCCTCATTAATTATTGGTGTGGGTTCATGAATAACAGACCCCTTATGAACGAATGAAATCTTAACTTAGTAACTAACATGTTTTCTACATACAAATTTTGCAAGGTGGACCCTAACGTCTAACATCAACATTAAACCAAGTTTTGAAGACTTGGTCGGTGCTAAAGTTTATATCATCATATTTTGATCTCACGTTAAAGAGGATAGCTTTTCCTCGAAACTTCTAGTATTCTCTACTATCTCTGTCTAAATGATATTTATTATTTTTCACAAAAAAACAGAAAATTTTCTAACATGATTTCAGTCATCCTCGTGGCACCTTTTAAGTGTAAAATTGGAAGCAACAAACCACTGAAACCAAAAAATTGAATTCCAGGAAACAACTCAACTAGTCTAGTGAAAACACAAAATCAGTTAACACAGTTATCTTGATAGGTTAATAGAACAGTCCTAGAACTGAATTAATGTCCCTGCAGCCCCTGGGGACTCTTTCTTGCCCCACTAGTACAACCTTTCTGAATTGGTAGGACTTGACAAGTCAGAAACCAATTTAGCATGACAAGTGCCAAGTGATATTCTAATCTAATAAACTAATGATTACACTTTACTCATAATCTTCAGGCATGGGAAGACTACCACCTCTGGTACAATATGATAATACTTTACAGGCTAAACCAAACATTCAAGAACCTGACCATTGAGAATAGAATATAATTCGCATACTTACAAGCTCCTCCCAAGATTCTTTCACTTCTTCTTTTGCATAAGCAAATCCGTATCCTGGCAAATCAACTAAGCAAAGCTTTGTTCCCAGCTTGAAGAAGTTAATTGTCTGCACAGTATGCGTCATTAGTTACCAAAGAACATTCATATATCAACACTTTATCTTTCAAATATCTACATCTACCAAGTTTTAAGAACTAAGGTACCTGTGTAAGGCCAGGCTTGTCTGATGTCCGCACAACCCCCCATTGTCTAGTGATTGCATTAAGAAGCGATGACTTCCCAACATTTGACCTACCTGAAAGATAGAAGACAATAGAAATATCATGCAATCCTAGACCTTGCTGCTAAAAGTTAGTCTGAATTCCCATCGGTTCTTAGCTTCACTATTTGTGGATACAGCTTATGTCCGACAATGTATCATCATTCCTCACATATTGTGGTATCAAGAGCACAACAACAACAGTTAAATTTCTTCTTTGAAGTTTAATGCTAATTTTTAGACAACAGCAATGGAAACAGATAAAGATAATGAAACCAGTAACAAGGTAAAAATGATCAAATACAAAACTCGCACCAAATAAATGAAACAATGCCATAATATAATTAACATACACCAAGAAAACAAAATGAGAAAGGAATAGGCATTAAACACTGGTGGCTTAAAACATTACCAGCAAATGCAATCTCAGGAAGATTAGGAGGTGGAAATGATGATGAGACCTCTGCGGCAGCAAAAAAATCCAATTTATTCCTAAAAACCTGTCACAGTTAATCAGACCAGAATGCCAAAATTAACAGAGGCTTAATAACAATATTTGAACAGAAAACCATTACTTATTCTATAGGTATATATATATTATTGTTTTTTATTGCATCAAACAAGCCATACATTTTCTTCGATTTTCTCTCTTTCTGAACTGCTAGAGAATGGAATATTATCTAAGGGTGCAGAAAGATCTATATTGTAACCTGCCCTTCTTAGGTCAATCGTGCGTCTCCTGCCCAGAAGCTGTGAATAATAACCAAGGTACAATAAGTCAACTAACCTTTGCATTCACAATAACAATGGAATATCATAATCAACACAACAATCAAAAGTCCTGCTCATACAAATTACATTTTTTTCCACAAAGGAAAGTATTGAAGGGCTAGGCTGTATTGCACGGAACTGGGCATTCTTGGACATTTTAGGCTCTTTCTCAGACTCCTTCTCTTTCTCCTCTTTACTTCCTGAAATAAACTTAGGGAATCAAAGGGAAGAAGTTCACAAGGTACTTGTGTAAACAGTAAAACCATCACTTCATGTTCAAAATAAACCACAAGCATTTGGTGTGTAACAGACAAACAGCATTTGAACTTTAAACAGAAAACTTGAATGTTCGGGGGAGGACAGTTATCATCCTATCCCATAAATGAACAGCTCCTCTTGTGGATCTTTTTTATTAACTTCTAAAAGGAAAATACAGGTAATAGATAAACAGATTTTAAGCATGTGACCTCAACCTTCAACTTCATCCAATATTGTATATAATCAGTTAATTGGGACCAGAAAATTCCTAAAATAGTGTTCGTACAAGTATGAAATGTAATTCATTCAAATATATATACTTGAAACTGATATTTTCTCAACAGATAGTCGATAGATTAGATGCAAACAGGTATATAATATCAAGACTGACCAGACTGCACAGTGGAATTCTAATCTTATTGTTGGTACGCATGAGAAAGGTATAAAGGTAGTACAAGCAACATAAATCTTAATAGCTTATTGACTAAAAAGAGGTTTATCTCACTGTAATTTGTTCATAGGACTCATACCGTTTAACCCATTTTTATATTGTACCTAGCAAGCATTATTGGAATTATACGAAAAAAATCTCTAAAACTCACCCCACAGCTACCATCATTTGCACATCTTAAACGCAGATAAGGTGAATGATTGATTGTTAATACTATTTTCTTATTCAGAATTAAAGCATATATTAGTTACCACTGATTAAAACATATAATCATTACGACGTTTTTCCATTCACAAGTATGATTCATAATACATTTTAAAGATCCGAAAGAAGATTTTTCAAACAGCATCGATGACAATGCTAAGCGAGGAAAATAAACTGCTTACCATCAACACCAACGCCATCATCTAGCCTCTTGTTTGAGATATCATGGGGGTCAATTTTGATCACCCATTTCTTCTTCTTTGGGCGATAATCTAGTGTCTCAGCATCATCATCATCCAATCCCACTTTATCTCTGGTTTTTATCTTGGCAAAACTTGATGCAGATACAACTTCTTGACTTTTCCTTTTGCTCAATTCAGATTTCTTTTCTCTACTTCTCTTCACCAAAACACTTCCTTGATCATCTTCCCCAGCAAATCCCATTTTACACTCCTCTTTTCCCTTGCCTTTCTGTTTAGCAGTAGCCAAGACAACATTTTCCTTCCTTTCCTTTCCCGTGTGAGTCAAACGCTTGACCTTAGAACCAACATTCCTTAGCTTACCAGGAACCCACATTGTACGGTGGCCAGTGTTCTCTTCAACAGGATCATCTTTCACTTTCTTCTCACCTTTCTTAAACAATGATCTCTTCTTAGATGTTGCTACACCATTCTCTAACTTCCCATTTTTATCCCTCCCCTCCTTAGCATATACCCTCTTCTTCCCAGAAGAATCCAAAGTCCTTAACTTCCCTCTATCCTCAATTTCTTCACTTAATTGCCTTCCTTTAAAGTTCATCCTTTTCTTCAGCTTTCCCTCGAACTCATTTCCTCTACCATAAACCCCATTTTCAAAAGAAACTTCATCCTTCTTAGTTCTCATAGATTTCCTAGAAGCGCTTAATACATGTTTAGTCCTCTTTTTTAGTTTCTGCCTTAAACTATCCTCAGAAGGCATGTCGAACAATGCTACACACACTTATACTCTTCTCAACAAACACAACAATCAACAGCCCACATGAATTTTATGTGTGACATGACAAAGCAAATAACAGGGTCAGATACATAACCTCGTCATGGAATCTTCGAAAGTTAAGAACTTTGGTGAATATTTGAGAGAGGAACTTCCAGCGTTGTGGTGGAATGTGGAGGCAGTGATCTTCAGACGTTGTAGGAGGCGCCGAAATGTTACGTTGGGTTGAGAATTGCAAAAGTCATGGGCCATGCTATCACTGTCAATATGGGCTCTCGGCCTTCTTAGCTTTGGGCCTTCTCCTAGTTTTTGAGCTTGCACTTAGAATTTGGTATTTTTAACCATTTACTTCTGTTTTCATTTCCCGATGTTCTTATATTTTATTTTATCGTAAACTTGTCGCCGCATTAAAAAAAAAAAACATTTTCAATAATAAATATATAAATGTTTGAAAATAGGAAACCTATTACAATTTTGAAATTAAAGAATGAAAATAAAAAAAAAACAAAAAAAAAACGAGTTGTGATGTTATGTTGGAAAGAAAAAACAATTACATTTTGGATATCCTTGGACACGCAATCAATACTTTTTTCTATCATTTTCTAATTGGTTTATATAATATAAGCTCCATGTCTGTAAATTATATTATTTAAGTTTGAATTAATCCCACGATGTTATATATATAATTCAAACACAAATACTTTTGTAAAGGATGTTTATGATTATGTATTTTAAAAAAATAAAAATAAAAATACAGGCCCTTTAATTAATAGATAAAGACCATTTTTTTTTCAAAATAAAAGAAATTAAAATCATGAAAGTAGAAATATCCACGTAACTTTGTCGTGTGTTTGGTTTTATGTAGTTGAAATACAATGAAATTAAAATAAAATAAAATAATGTAGATTTTCGATACACTGTTAACAAGTTTTAACAGTAATTTATTTATTTTTACGTATAAAAAGAAATTAAGAATATTTATATTATAAATTGATTATTTTAAAAAATAATATATATATATATATATATATAGATATAATCTTTATGTTTTTTACTTTTAGATTATAATAATAAATAATATTACACTAATGATAAATAATTAAAAATATATAATTGTTTTTTACTTATCTTTTTTTTTCTTAATTCAAAAAATCTCATTTTATTATCTTTCTCCTTTTTTTTTCACCCACAAAAAAAAAACTCTCTAAACTAAACAAAGACTTTGTACTCGTAAAAATAAATATTTCATGGCATTTTCAAGAAAATTTATGTATACAGAAAAATATGAGGTGAGGCATTTTAAAATTAAATTAAATCGATAAAATTTTGTGATTTATTGAGATTTGGTATTAAGAGATAACCTCTATAATTGAAATTAAATAACTACAAAAACAATTAAGAATCCTAAAAAAAAGTTTTTTTTTTCCATGAAATAAAATATCATTTACTAAAAAAAACACACCCTATCACTACTGTCTATACTAAACTAATTAAAAATAAAATATGTATAAATATAATATAAAATAAACTTTTTTTATTCCAAAAATAAATATTCTATCTTATTTCCAACACAATATTTAAAATTTGAATTAATTATGGTGGTGATGAAGTGAGTAAATGAATGGAGGAGAAAGAGAAAAGAGTAAAAGAAGAAAGTATAAGCATACTCCCACACTCTGAAGAAGGAGGCTATCCATCACTTAAATTCAATTTACAGAATAATAAGGAGTAAATTCAGTTAACAATATTCTTTTCCCCAAAAATAAATTAAAAAATGAACAAACTCCCCTTATTCAATAAAAATAATATACAAAAAAAGGAAAAAATAATGTAATGATAATACTTAATCACACTAACTTCCAAGTGGGCTAGTTCCATCTTCTCTATCATGCAACATAACCCAACAATTTCCTTTTTTTTTTCTTTTTTTTTTCATTACTATTGTACATTTTTATTTTCTTTTGAATTTAATTTAACTCAACCAATTTCAAGTTTTTTTCTTCAGTCACCGACAACCTACGACTAAGTTTGTTCTTGTGCCACTTTGCTGTCAGACGACGTCGTTGCACCTCCGAGCAACAAAGGCTTCAACCTCTCCTCCCACACACTTCTGAACGCAACGGCGTCTCCGCCCCTCCTCCGGACTTCCACCACCGTGAGGTCCGCTGATAGCCGGTGAACCTCCACCTCAAACCTGAACCTCCCATTCAGTCCTTCTAACTCCACCCCGCACTCCTTCTTCCACCGCACCTCCATCTCCGCCGCCCCTCCCGCCTCCTCAGCCGTCTCCAGCACCAGCTCCGGCGACTTCCGCGTCACCAACCGGTCCCCCTTGCCGGCTTCCCCGAACAGCCCCGACAAATCCAAACCCGAAGAGAAACTAATTATGTCAAAAGCGTTCAAATTCATGACCCGATCCTCTTTCGATCCGATCCCGATACCGGACCCGGACGCGTAATCCTCCTCGTTAAATTTTATCTCTTTGTACTCTTTTCTGAACCAAGGGTCACGGATCATGTCGTCCACCGTGATCCTCGTTTCCGGGTTGGTGTCTAACAGCCTCCCCAAAAATCGCCGGAGCTCCGGCGATGTCCACCGCGGGCACCGGAACTCACCCTTGTAAATCTTCTTGTACATTACCATCAAATTCGGGTCGTTAAACGGTAAGTAACCCGCGACGAGGACGAACAAAACGACGCCGCATGACCAAACATCGACTTTGGCACCATCATAACCTGAAAAATATGCCATTTTGTACAACAAATTTTAGAATTAAGAAAGAAAATTATCAGACAAAAAAATACAAAATATAATAAATGACGTGAAAAAAAAAGTAATATCGTGTAAATCAACTTTGCAAATTACTTGTGATATAATTTTGTTATTTTTTTCTGGTAAAGACAAATATATCAACACAATTTTTAATATTTTAGATTTTTTCATTAATTATGATTAAAAAAACTTTGAAGATGAAACTGTAGTTGCAGTGGCAAGATTGGAACATAAATGAAAGATTTTATCAAAACTAAAACCATGTCCTTTAAAATCTTGGTGTAAGATTTTAAACAGGAGCCCTTGCATCGAGTAAAAAATTCTTTACATTTGATACAATAATTCAAAATTTTCAAAATTCTCTGCCGAAATTCTTGAAACCAAAAAATTAACTAGAAAGTCGTTAATATAAATCTAAAACAAAATATTGTATTTAAATCAAATTTTGCAACATATAGTATTAGTATAGTTATTAAAAAAAAAAACTTATCAAAAATACTTCTAATTCATATTCAAACAAACCTAACCTTAATTACATTAAAGGACCATTTTTCAAAACTTCGACGGAAGATCAAGGAGCCACAAAAAAATCTTGACATAAATTATTACTGAATGAGTTGTTTATATAATTTTTTCATGTACGTAACCTTTTTTGCTTAATATCTCGGGTGCCACGTAAGCAGGGGTTCCGCAAAGTGTGTGGAGTAACCCGTCCGGTCGGATCTGATCCCTGAGAGCACTCAACCCGAAGTCGGTGACCCGCAAATCGCCGTTCTCATCAAGGAGGAGATTCTCCGGCTTGAGGTCGCGGTGGAAGACACCGCGCGAGTGGCAGTAGCCGACGGCAGAGATCAGCTGGTGAAAGTACTTCCGGCTGAGATCCTCCGAGAAGCGACCCTTCGAGATCTTGCCGAAGAGCTCTCCGCCGCGGATGATGTCCATGACGAAGTAGATTTTGGTTTTGGTGGCGAGAACCTCGTGGAGACGCACGATGTTAGGATGATGGAGCCTGCTCATGATCGAGATTTCGCGCTTCACGTTTCCGGCGAGTCCCGATCCATTGAGCTTCTTCTTGTTGATGATTTTCACGGCCACGCTCTGCCCCGTCTGCACGTTCCGCGCGTAATGCACCTTCGCGAAGGCGCCGCACCCGAGGACTCGCCCGAGCTCGTACTTTCCGAACAGGGCGGTGTTCTCATCCGCCGCCTGGTCGATCTCCGGCATGGTTGCGCCGGTGGTACTGCACCAGAGATCGAACCCAAGCTCTGAATCACGGGAGGAACCACTCGGGAGCGAAATTGATGAACGCGTTACGCTACTAGAGTGACAAATTGAAATGGGTCAATCGCAGAATTTGATTTTCGTGGGTTGTTGCAATGGGGAATTTTTTGGGGAAAATTGTAAGGGATTTTCAGTATTTTTGATTGACGGTTAGGACGGGTTCCGAGAAGACGGAGGATTGTGAGGTGTTGTGGGACACACGTGCTTTAACACCGTCTAATGAGATTTTGACACGTGCAATATGCTTTTTCATTGTCTCTTTTTGAACGATGATTGAGGTTCCTTATGAGTTTTGGAAAATAGAAAAAGACATAAAATAATATGCTTTTGCTTACTTTGAATTTTGGAATTGACGGTGGGTTGTGATTCGTATCATTATTGCATGTTCCAGCAAGGTTGGATTAACTTTGCATTCTGTTTTTAAACATGTAATTAAGATAGGGGTTGGTTGGTGGCAAAACAAATTAATAAGTTAAGTTCTTTGTGTTAGAATTAATTTTTAATTAATTTATTTCATTATGTGACTCATGTGAAATATTATAAAGGGCCCAAATGTGATTTAATAATTATAAGGACCTATTGGTTATTATGTGAAGTCAGAATAAAATAAAAATAAAATAAAATATTAACCGAATGTAACCAACTCGATGGACGTTGGTTAATAAAAGGGATTAGGGTTACGTCTCTGGCCATAAGGTCTTTTTCACTGTAAACCATCTAGAAAGCGAAGCGTGAGAAGAGAAAGAAAGGCAAAGAGATAGATTGGGAAAAGGAGATTGGAGAACGAAAAGATCAATAAAGGATTCTCATGGATCAAGGTTAGTTCTCTTACTATATTCATGTATTGATGTATGCAAATGTGAAAATCAATAATCTAAAGATCCTGTAGAGTAGTTTTCTATAACGAATTAAGAACGTAGGAAAACTACGAGAAAGTTTACATGTGGTATCGGAGCATGTTTATTAGATTTATGATTTTCCTCTTATGATAGTTTTTCCCAAATTAAGATAAACCCTAATTATGAATTTAGGAATTTTTATCGGATTAACGTGAACCCTAATTATTCCCAAATTTATCTTTTCCCAAAATTGAATAAAAGGATAAGCCCTAATTTATGGATAAGGTTGCATTTAATTTCAAATTGAAATCAATTTGATAATTTATGAGTTTCAATGGTTATGCAATCCTTAATTGAAAATAAAATTTAGGTATTTTACTTGTTTGGCGTCAATGCACACGTAATTTATAATGCAATTAATTTCCACTGCAATTAATTAATGATGCAAGTTGGGGGAACCCTGGGTAATTGAAATATTTCACGTGTATAATTGAAAGTATCACGTAGTCCAAGTATAGAATTAATGTGTGATTTTAATTATCATATTAATTGCAAACGTGCGTACTTGACTTTAAATGCTTTAAGAAAATCGTTTAAGGAAATCTATATACTTGATTCTCCGGCCTTGATACAACGCCGTTTAAACCCCTTTCTCCTCCGTCTTGGACACCTGCGTGTTGAGCGTTTCGCCTCAACCACAAGGCTGCACCACCGTCATCGTTCTCCATAGCGATGATGGGAGACGGGAAAAGTCCGATGAGAAATCATCTTAAGCAGGCGTTAGTAATTTTGCCCAAATAAGGTCCTTTGGAAGCTCTCTTAATGCACCATTGGGGTTCTTTTCTCCTTCCCGAGATAAATTTCTTTTTCCATGCACTTGGATATGGTTTCTGCAGGCATATGTCTACTGTGAATCGGGGTTCGAGTGTTAAAATCCAATTTAAGTATGAATGTGAAATGTGAATGTTACTTGTGGAGGAGAATTCTCTTTTATAATTTTATTTTATTATAAAAGGAATGAATTTTAATTTATAATAATAATGTTATGTTTTGTTATTGATAAATTAAAATTAATGAAAAATGTTATGAATAGTTAATAGCAATTAAAGATGGTATTTATTTGAAATTAAGCATGATAAATTTTGTTAGTCACCAAAGTGGCCAAAATTTTAAGGTTATTTTAATTTCAAATTATTAGTGATTTTATTTCAATTACCCATAGTATGAACGCTAAAATTATGAATAATTGGTTTATGGGTTAATTGAAGTTCATTATTATAAGACATTTCAGGATCACCCAAAGGTTGATTAATTGTTATTATAATTAATGAGCATGAAGGTAGATAATTTTTGTGCGTCACTAGTTTTATTTAAATACCCAAAGGTATTAAGTGATTCTAGTTGATGCATATTTTAATTATCATTAATGTTATAAAATGGTTAGCGTAATTATGTTTGTGTATTGGTGGATCTCCCAAAGGAGAACATTAGTATGCGAGAGAATGGTAATTTATGGTTGAATCTGTATTTATGTTTAATTTTATGACTCAAAGTATTAATGTTAGGCATGTGGTAATTGCGAGTATCTGTTCTCGTAGCTCGCATTCGCTATCTTCGTCTGTTCCAGTCTTTAATGGGTTAAATTTCCCTGATCTGGAGTGAACAAGTCCAATTTCACTTAGGTGTGTTGGATCTTGATTTGGCTTTCCAAGTTGAAAAACCGATCTGCTATCATCGATGCTAGTAGTAATGAAGAGAAAACTCATTATAGAGCTTGGGAAAGATCAAACCGACTTAGTCTTATGTTTATGCGAATGAGTGTAGCAAGCAATATTAAATCTGCTCTTCCCAAAGCCGAGGATGCGAAAGAGTTCATGAAATTTGTGGAAGAGCGCTCTCAAACCGTCGACAAATCCCTCGCTGGGACATTGATGAGTACGTTGACCACCATGAAGTTTGATGGTTCTCGTAGTATGCATGAACACGTAATCGAAATGACTAATATCGCAGCAAGACTAAAGTCTCTTGGAATGGCAGTGGAAGAAAATTTCCTTGTGCAGTTCATTTTGAACTCGTTACCGCTCGAGTATGGTCCGTTTCGGATGAACTATAACACCATGAAAGATAAATGGAATGTGCATGAATTGCACAGTATGTTAGTCCAGGAGGAGACCGGACTCAAGAACCTAGGAAGCCACTCTATTCATTACGTGAAAAATCAAGGAGCTAAAAAGAAAGTTGTTAAGAAACATGGAAAGGGTAAAGGACCATTAAAGATTAACGAGTCATCTACTAACATTCGGAAGAAAAATGACAAATGTCATTTACGCGGAAGTCTGGACATTTTCGGAAGGATCGCTTAAAGCGTAAAGCTTGGTTCGAAAAGAAAGGTGAGCATAGTGCTTACGTATGTTTTGAATCAAATTTAACTGAAGTTCCCCATAATACTTGGTGGATTGATTCTGGATGTACAACTCATGTTTCTAATGTGATGCAGGGATTCCTTTCAACCCGAACCATAAACCCAAATGAGAAGTTCGTCTTCATGGGGAATAAAGTCAAGGTTCCAGTGGAAGTCGTCGGGACTTATCGTTTAATCCTTGACACTCGGATATCACTTAGACCTTATGGATACTTTTTATGTACCTAGTATCACTAGAAATTTAGTTTCTTTGTCTAAGCTCGATGTTGCTTGGATACTCTTTTAAGTTTGGGAATAGTTGTTTCAGTTTATTTAAGCGTACATGTATGATTGGAACTGGTACACTTTATGATGGTTTATATAAATTGAATTTGGATAATTTATATGCTTGAAACTCTCATGACCTTGCATCATAATGTTGGCACTAAACGTAGTTTGGTGGATGAAAGATCTGCTTATTTGTGGCATAAGCGTTTGGGACATATTTCCAAAGAAAGAATGCAAAGATTAGTAAAGAATGAAATCCTTCCGGATTTAGATTTTACTTGATCCGAATGTATGTGTGGATTGTATTAAAGGTAAACAAACAAAACACACAAAGAAAGGAGCCACAAGAAGCACTCAACTTCTTGAAATCATACACACCGATATATGTGGTCCATTTGACGTAAATTCTTTTAATAAAGAGAAGTATTTCATCACTTTCATTGACGATTTCTCGCGTTATGGATATGTCTATTTACTATATGAGAAATCTCAAGCAAGTAAATGCCTTAGAAAGTTATATAAACGAAGTGGAGAGGCAATTAGACAGAAAGGTGAAAATTGTCGGGTCGGATAGAGGTGGTGAGTATTATGGAAGATATGATGAAAGTGGACAACACCCTGGTCCGTTTGCTAAGTTCCTCGAGAAGCGTGGTATTTGTGCTCAATACACAATGCCAGGCACACCGCAACAAAATGGTGTGTCTGAAAGGCGTAATCGAACCTTAATGGATATGGTTAGGAGTATGTTGAGTAATTCATGTTTACCTGTATCGTTGTGGATGTATGCTTTGAAGACTGCCATGTATTTGTTGAACAGGGTTCCTAGTAAAGCGGTTCAAAAGACTCCTTTTGAGTTATGGACAAGTAGGAAACCCAGTTTAAGACACCTACATGTTTGGGGTTGTCAGGCAGAAGTAAGAATTTATAATCCGCAAGAAAAGAAACTGGATGCAAGAACAATCAGTGGATATTTCATTGGTTATCCAGAAAAATCAAAGGGGTATATGTTTTACTTGTCCTACTCATAGTACAAGAATTGTTGAAACTGGAAATGCTCGGTTCATTGAGAATGGTGAAACCAGTGGGAGTGAAGCTTCACGAAATATGGAGATTAAGGAAATTAGAGTACAAGTTCCAATAACTAGTACATCTTCAAGAGTTGTTGTTCCAAATGTTGTAGAATCACACGACAATCAAGAAGAACAACAAATTAATGATCCTGAGATAAACAATGATCCGATAATAGAACAACCACAGGAAATAGTATTAAGAAGATCTCACGGAGAAAGAAAGTCTGCTATTTCAAATGATTACGTGGTTTATCTACAAGAGTCGAGAAAATGACCTAAGTATTGATAATGACCCAGTTTCATTTTCGGATGCCATTAATGATGATAATTCGATAAATGGTTAGA